GAGCACTCGTAGAGGCCACTGTCACCCTCCTGGGCCTGGGCCAGGCGCAGGGAGCCGGATGGGAGGAGGCTGTGCCTGCATCCGAGAGGGGGCTGGTGAGCCCCGGCAGGCCCCCCAGGGAAGGCTTCAAGTCCCAGCTCAGACCACAGGCCGCCTCCCCCAGGAGGCCTCCAGGACTGAGGGCAGCCCTGCCCTCCACCCTCCCCTCTCTGCCGCCAGCCCAGGCCAGGCCCTGCTGGCACTGGACTGAAGTCCAGTCTGCACCCTTCCTGGCTGGGTCTCAGGAGGGCCACTCCACCTCTGCGGCCCCCCACGCCTGCGTCTATGGAACGGAGCCTAAGGGTGGGGCTGGGGCACAGCAGGGCCTGTGCTGTCCACCCCATGCCTGCTGGCCCACGGCAATGCCCCCTCTACTGGGCTAACCTGCCCTAGGTCACCTGCCTGGGAGCAGGGCCAGCCACTCCCTCGGCTCTCAGACCCCCTGTGTCCTGGCACCAGGGTCTGCTGGACCTTGAATCCAGTGCCTTTGGCCGTCTCATGATCCAGAGCTGTGCTGGGCCCCAGGCAGACGCTGTGCAGTCCACCCGCCATCTTGCTAAGGCACCTGACCTCCATCCCACAGGATCCAGGACCCCCAGCCAGGCTCCTGCAGCTGGGCTGGACCCCAGGGGCCCCTACAGACATGATGTCACCAGCCCACATGTGCTGGCTCTGGGCAGACCCTGCCCCCGTAAAACAGAGGGGGCAGCTGCAGTCAGGGGCCCCGGCCAGCCCCCAAAGCTAGTGGCCAACATGGGGGTGGGGACTCCAAGGGCCAGCCCTCATCTTTGAGCTCACCAGAGGTCTCCAGATGGGCTCTGGAGGCGGAAGGCCTGGGCTCCAGCCCTTTCTGCTGGGTTCTAAGTTTCCTCTTCTGCAAAATGGGCCTTCCAGGTTCCCATAGACCCCGGGGTCCCTGGAGTCCCATCTCCCGCCCAGGCAGCCCAGGATCACCAGGGACAGGGCCTGTCGCTTTCCCTTCCTGGGCCTTAGTTGCCCCACTCTGGGTAACAGAGCCCACAGTCATGTGATCCTAGGACTGTGGAAAGAACTGAATGGCCTAATTCATAGCACAGCACCTGGAACAGAGGCCCTCAGCAAAGGCCAGCTGCTGTCCTGGTGATGACCACTCACCCGCAAATAACACACACTGCTGTTCTGCATGTTTACAACTTATATAAGTGGCACCATCTACAGGGTGTAGATCAAACCCATCCCTTTCCACTGCTGTATAATATTCCCTTGCTTGTTCATACCAGCATGTATTAATTTGCTGTGGTTGGTGTAGACCTTTACATAGCCAGCTCCTCCCTCCCTCCCTCATTTTCTTGGCCCTTCCTTTCACCAACAGGGCTGCCTGCACACTGTGTGTGTCATCTGTATGGGAGTAGGACTCCTGGCCACAGGCTCCCACCCCTCAGCTCTCACAGGAGCCAGCTGGGGAGTCTGTCACTCATGCCTCGCAGGACGGGGGTCCTCACCAGACCCTCCTGGGCAGACTCGGAAGCCTGAGTCCAGGGGGGCTGGAGTTTCAGCAATGCCCTGGCTGCCCCTGGGAGCACATCTGAGGACCATGAAGAAGTGCCCCGCCCCGCCCCGCCCCGCCCCTCAGAGTGTGACCCCGCCCCTCAGAGTGTGACCCCGCCCCACCCCGCCTCTCAGAGTGTGACTCCTCCCCCCAGGGTGTGGCCAAGCCGAAGGGGCGGGGCTCAAGCAGCCAGTGGGCACCTTGGGAACCACCCGTGCTGGCCTCACAGGGGACCCTGGGTCAAGGACTCCACCCTTCACCTGGATCACAGGTGGTGGCAGGCACAGAGTGACATGCTGCCCACAGAGGGCCCTGCTGCCAGCCTGACCCGGGCGTCCCAGCTTGCTCTCAGCTGGGCAGCGCTGAGCAGGGAGGAGGAGGGGTCAGGCACTTGTCCCCAGCAAGGCCTGGGGTGCACTTCCTGTGCGGCTCCACCCCCAGCTTGGCCTTCCTCACCTCCAGGCTCCTTAAGGTGGACAATGGAGGTATCAGCACCCCCCAAGCAAGGGATGGTTGGCTCCAGGCTGAAACACACACACTCCATGACACTGGGGCAGGGTTGAGGTTCGCGGACTCCCTACAACACAGCGGCTGGCAACAGGGACAGCGTGGGACAGGGAAAGAGGTCTGAGCTGCAAGCGGACCCAAGGTCCCATGGTGTCCCATGGTGCTATGCAGCCTCAGGCAGGACAGTCAGCGTCTCTGAACCCAGTCTGTTCACACTGGAGAAGACAACTCCACGACCTCAGAGGCTGCCTCCGAGGGCGGCCAGCAATAGGGGCCACAGAACTCCCGGCTCCCTCCCTCCCTGAAGGACAGGAAGAAGGACCTTCTGGGAAAAAGCTTTAGAGAAAACTTCTGAAAGAGAACGGATTCTCAGCAATGAAAGCGGCCACCTCCCCCGTTCATGACCACTGCCCGGGTCATCTTCTAGAAATGCTGCCTGCTCTGTCACCAGGAGAGACTGGAGACGGGTCCATTCACAGATGGGTAGGCTGCCTGAGAGGAGGAGGGCCTGGTGCCCGCCCGCCACAGCAAGAGCTCGCTCCGGATGCCCAGCTGCCCACGTCACTGTCCTGCTTTAAACCCTGCTGCGGCTCCCTGACAGCCCCAGGACAGCTGCGTCCCCCCCCCCCGGCACCCCATCCCTCACTGGGCCTCCGTGCTCCCCTGGCCCCCGTTCTTTCAGCCTGGGCCCCCCTGGACCCTGCCCATCTTCCCACCCTTAGACACCTCCTCCAGGAAGACCCCTCTGATGCCCCAGGCGGCCAGGGCTGTCCCCCGGCCCCCAGGCTGCCTGAGCTCCCAGACGTCACAGCCCTCAGCACCCATCTGTGACAACATGGGACCTGGCTGCTGGGGGCTCCAGGGGTCACCACCTGCTGCCTTTTCACCCCTGCCCGGACCCCTGCCCAAGCTCTGAGACTCGGAGAAAGTGAAGCCTCTGTCCAGGGCTGGGTGGACGGGATGCCGGGGACCTGGGGCACCCCAGCTCTCCCTGGTCCCCCCAGCTCGCCTGGTCCCCCCAGCTCGCCCTGCAGGGAAGTTGGGGGGGTTGGAAGGAGGAGGGGCCTCGGGGCAGGGGCTGCGGGGACGTGGGTGTCACCCCTGCGCGGTCAAGCGCCTCCTGAGACTTCTCACTTGGAACGCCCAACAGCCAGACCTGCGAGGCGGGGAGTCCACACCCTCGCCCCTCTGAAGAGAAGGCTGAGGCCTGGGGATGCCACTCTGCGTCCACAACACTTGGCTGGCCAGACACGGCCCCCCCCCGGCCCTGCCACTGTGTGTCTACCCACCATAGCAATCAAATGGTTGGCCCTGCCAGGCGCAGTGGCCACGCCTGCAGTCCAGCGGCTCGGGAGGCTGAGGCAGGAGGATGGCGAGTTCATAGCCAGCCTCAGCAAACTGAGGCCCTAAGCAACTCAGCAAGACCCTGTCCCTAGATAAAATACAGAATAGGGCTGGGATGGGGCTCAGTGGTCAAGTGTCCCTGGGTTCAACCTCTGGTGCCCACCCCCCAAAAACACAAAGGTTGGCCCTGGAGTTACGATAACTTAAATGTCCCCAGAAAGACAGCCGCGGGCCACAGTAGGTTAACAAGACTTCAGAGCTGCCAGCCAGCCGCCAGCATGGCAGACCCACACAGGCCCTGGGCGGTCCACGCCTGGCTGTTGGCTTCTGGGGAGCAAGCAGGTTTTCTCCTGGACCACCAGGACCCCAGCTGCATCCTCACTTCACGTCCCTGGTGAACGGGCAGTGGCCATCCAGGAGAAGGACAGATGGGCGTGCTTCCTGGGTCCCCTCGGGAGTGAGCAGGGATGGTGGGGTATGGCCGTGGGAAAGCCGCAGCAGCAAGGAGCCCGGGGCAGCCCACCCACGCCCTCCCCTTCCCGGACTCGGGCCTGGCCGCGTGTGGGACCCTGGCCCGCTGCCCCGAGAGCTCACAGCTGTCCCGGCTCCACATCAGAATCACAAACAAACATAGTCGCCTAGCGACACGCCCCACCCGGCACCCCGGAGCTGGCCAAGGATGCTCTCTGGCCACCACTGCCCACCCAGAGAGCTCTCGGGTCTCCGACGGGAAGACTGAGGCCCAGGGAGGGGCCAGGGCGGGCCCAGCCCTCGAGCAAGCTGCGGGATGCCCGGAGGGGCCCTGGCCCTGGGCTCTGTTGGTCTCAGCACAGTCCTGGGCACACGGCGTTGCTCAGTGGACACCGTGGACCTAGACCCGCGGGACGAGAAGCGCCCAGTGGCCATCCCCCCCTGGACTCAGCCGTGCGCTGTCAGGATGGTCCAAGGACGGCCCAGGGGACGAGGAGGAGCCTGTGTGCGAAGCTGCTCCAGCAGCCGTTTGTAACCCTGAGCGCTGGCCATGACAGCAGGCCCCGACAGAGTGGCCTTGCAACCAGCCAGCCGGGCCGGGCCAGCCGCCACCACCCGTCCACGCCAGCTGGCAGAAGGGGACGACCCCGGCCACGGGGATGGAGGTGGCCTCGGGGGCCCACACGCTGGCTCTCATCCCTGCCCGCGTGGTCAGTCCTAGAGCCACCGGGCTCCTCAGTGCACCAGGGCGGGGGCCTCGGGCCAGCAGAGCCAGGGGACGGGGCAGCTGTGGCCCTGAGGCAGCTCACCAGGCGGAAGGAGCCCAAGGCCCAGCGGAGGGGCAGGCGGGTCCCCAGGGAGCCTGGAGAGGGCACCTCTAGAGGGAGGAGGGCGGGTCCTTAAGCAGATGGACCCTAGGGCTCCTGGAAATGAGTCCCCAGCCTTCAGAATGGAGGCCTGGAGGCCTGGAGGCCCAGCCTTGGGGCTCCCAGGAGGAGGAGGAGGTCGGGAGTGCATGGAGAGAAGGGAGGACGGGGGCCACACAGACCGCAAGGTCCCCCCTCCACTGCATGGTGAGTCCACGAGGTCCCACAGTCCCCTCCACGGCTGGAGCTCCCTGGTGCTAAGGGCAGCTGGGTGGTGACGGGGTGGGGGGACCAAAGAACCACAAGGACCCCAGCCTGCCCAGGAGGTGGCAGAGGCTGCTCACCATCGCCAGAGGTAGGACACAACCCCCAGGTCCATCACATGGTGAGTGAACAAAAGATGGTCTGTGGAATACTATTCAGCCATCAAAAGCGGGCAGTGCTCTGACCCATGCTGTGCCCATGAACTTCGAGGGCATTGTGCTGGGCAAAGGAGAAGACCACATCTAATTCCAGAGTCAGGCCAGGAAGAACCCAGAGGACGGGACGATGGAAAAGAAGGCAGTGATGAGAAATGTCCAGAATGTCAATCCAGAGACAGAAAGAAGATCAGCAAGGTGGGCAGTTGCCAGGGGCGGGGCTGGCTGTGGGCATGACCGCTCTGGAGGGTGGTGGAAATGCCCTCCGGGTGGTGGCGGCCACACAGTTGGGAGTGGAACCCGAGGGTGGCTGTGGTTGATTTCCGGATGAAGCCGCCCTGTCCCGCAGTGGGTGAGGATCAAAGGGGACAGTAACATGACGGTTCCCTAAAAGCTACCAATGAACAGCCTTGGTTCACGGCCATCAGTAGCAGGGGCAGGAACAGGAGGGACAGTGCCCACCTGGGCAGCACCGTCGTCACCTCCCAGGGCAGGAGGAGGAAGCGCAGGAGCCTCTGCAGTCCCTGCGGCTGCGTGGCCAGGCAGCGTCCGGGGGGCCAGCGCCTGCGCCTCTCCCTCCTGTGCCCTGGGCGTGTCCTGCCTTTTAGACAAGCTCCCCGCTGGCCAGAGTCCTCAGAGCAACGGTGCCACGAGCCACAGGGGAGGTGAGGGGCCGAAGGGGCCGCGGCTGCGAAGCCAAGGTCAGGGCTCCCGGTGGCTTTGTCACCGCATGGGGCAGAGAGGAGCGGACACGTGGAAACAGAATCAACAAGCACTGCTGGCCACTGGCCAGCGCCCAGCCAGGAGCAGGGGCCAGACACTCTCGGGGCAGCCCAGGCTGGGGAGCCGCAGCGGCCCACCTCAGCCACAGCCCAGGTCCCTTCCCTTCCCTGGCCCCGGCTGTGCCGAGGGGGACACGCTGCAGGTTTGGAAGCGCTCACCCAACACGGGTCCCAACGTACGTAGGAGGGGGGACATGAGGCCACCGCAGGGCCCTCGGTCTGGGACGGCTCAAAGACCTGGCCAGGGCCGACGTCACCCGCCCGTGCCACAGCCCCTCTCCCGCTGCCAGCTCCAAGGCTCCAGGACTCTGGGGGCCACTTAGTAGCGGGAGCCAACAGCCTCCACACTCCACACAGCTGGGCTGCGCTGGACCCCAAGCCGGGCCTTCCCTCACTGTGCCTCCAGGACCCCCAAGCAGCACCGGAGTCACAGCCCGCCCCCCGGACACCTAGGAGATGCCATGAGCTGGGGTGGGGACACGCTGTCTGAACCAGCCTTGCTCTTGCTCAGCTGGGCGACCCTGAGCAGCTCCCCCACCCTGGTGGCCCTCAGTGTCCAGAACAGTTCAGCTGCTGGGGCTGCGGGGCTGCCGGGCAGGGCGGGAAGTGCCGTCCACACGGCCAGTGACCACGTCGGGGCATGTTCTTTCAGGGTGGCTCACCATGGCTCCCTGGCCCCTCAGAGGCTCGGGGACCAGGGCACAGTCTAAATTGCTTCTGCAGAGCACACCCGCAGCGTCCACAGGGCTCTCACTCCTGCTGGCCACCGGCCACCCTGACGCCAGCTTCCCTCCAAGCCCAAGTTCCACCCTTCCTGACCCAAGACCAGTAGATCGGGTACCTGTCAGCGACGGACAGCAGAGGGCGCGAGTCCTTTGTCCAGGTGACCAGTGGGGGTGGGGAGCCCTGGGCCTCACAGTCCAGGGTCACCTCTTCGCCGGCCTTTGCTGTGACTCTCTGAGGCACATCTGCATCATGGGACCCATTCACCTTGATCTTGGGCTTGGCTGTTGGGGGACACCAGCAGAGCCTTGAGCAGGACAGCAGGATGGCCCCAGGGAGGGGTGTCCCCAGGAGAGGGGTGTCCCCAGGAGAGGGGTGGTTCCCCAGGAGGCAGAGGTACAGAAGGGGGCGAGGCCTGTTAGGGTCAGGTCTGGGTCTCGGTCCCAGGGCTTGCTCAGCAGCCCCCCCCCTCCGCCCTCTGGAAGCTCCTCCTGTTTGGCAACCTGGCCTGGTCCCTCCTGCCCAAGGTCCAGGCCTCCTCCGGCTTCTCTCCGTCCTGCCACCCCTTCCCCGGGACATTCCTGCACGGTCCCTCCCTTCGTCTCTCCACCTCCCTGCTGGTCATGCCATGATTCCGGGGATCAATGACCAGGGGACGCAGACTCTCCCTCTGGGTTCTGCAGCCCTGTCGGAGACCTCTGAGACCCCACACATGGCCTCCCTGGGGTTCTGCTGACGATCCCTTGGCAGCAGACTACGCAGTGCCCCTCCATCCCTGTGCCCATTCCTAGTCCAGCGCTCACACTGAAGTAGGCAGATGTGCGGCAACAAGCAGACAGGTGGACGCGGAGACGCCCTGGCCTCCTCCTGTCGGCCCCTGCATTGTTAGAGAGCAAACTGCCCACTGTTAAGGTCTGTAGACAAGTCAAAATAACACGTGGTATTTTGCCGGAGAAATGTTAGAGTTCGTAAACAAGTCTGGATGGTGCCTGGCAAAATGTCAGAGGGAGTGGTTTGAGAAGTAACAAAAGCAAGCCATTAAGTGTGGAGATTCCCTATTGGTTGACTGATGTATCTAGTTTATGCTAATTAAGATAAGCTGTGCAAAATGTATAAATAGCTCTGTTGTCCTACAATAAACGGCTCCTATTCCTGCTGTATCAATCTACAGAAGTTATTCGTCACCCCCCGGTTATTATGCTGCAGCCGGTCTGCGGCAGCCCACTCCATGTAAAAGAGTTTTTTTTTTTTTTCCAGGATAAAATATTGTCTCTAAAAGGATGCGATAGCAAAGATGGGAAAGGGCATTCAACCAGAAGGAGCTGCCCGTGCAAAGGCCCAGGGGCAGGGTGGACCACGACAGAATGGAGAGGGATGGGAGGGTCTGAGGCAGAGAGGAGAGGAGAGAGGTGGGCCAGGGGGCTGCCAGCACAAGGTCAGGGCAGAGACCTGTGTCTTTCCTGAGCCTATGACGGTGACAGCTCCCCACTCGGTCACAACAGGCTGAGTGAACCACTGTCCCCCGTGACGCCCATGCCCGCTGAGCCCTCCCGCCGGGGCCGGCCATCCTCACTGTTGACAGAGAGCCGCATCTCCTGGCTGGAGAAGCCCACGGCGTTGGTGGCAGTGCACACGTAGGCCCCTGCATCCTGAGGGGACGGCTGGGTGATGACCAGGGTGCCGTCCTTGCTCACGTTGTAGCGGGGACCCCCGGAGCTCAGGGCTCGGGCTTCCTAGTGCGGAGCGACAGGGACGTCAGCAGGGCCCACACCCCGCTCTCCGGCAGGTGTGGCCGCCCCCAGCGCCCTCACAGGGAGAGGCCCCTACCTTGGTCCAGGAGACGGTGGGGGTGGGGACTCCAGAGGCGAGGCAGGGGAGGGAAGCCGGGACCCCTTCGTTGGTGATGTGGTGGGTGGCAGAGGGACGGATCCTAGGTGGCACTTAAACAAACAAACCAATTTCACCAACCCACGCTCACAGCAGCATCTGCCCAAGAGCCAAGAGGCGGCAGCAGCCCGGACGTCGTCAGTGACGAGCAGTTAAGCAAGACATGGCGCCTGGCGTAAGGACACCTCCTCCAGCCTCAACCAGGGCCAGAGACCGCCTCCGCCCTGGGGTTCTGGAACAGGCAGGGCTCCACAGACGACGGAAAGAGGGGTGGTGGCCAGGAGTGGGGGACAAAGGTGGCCGGGGACGGGACTTGACACTTCTCTGTGCAACCCCACGAGAGCAACGTGTCCTTGTGCTCTGGAGGCGCGGGCCCCTGGGGGGGGGGTACGTGTGTGGCTTCATCAGTGGTAACAAGGGCCACCCTGGGGACATCAGGACAGGCGGCCATGCATGAGGGGCAGGGGAGTGGGGAAGCTCCATCCTGTGCTCCATCTTTCTATAAAACTGCTCTAAACCCGCGGGACTCCTGATCCACAGAACAGCACTGGGACATTGTGCTGCAGACAGCCGGGTGCCAGGGTCCGCGCCTGCAATGCGGCTGGAGCCCAGGCTGCGCAGACTCTCGGAGAAGAAGGGCTGGGGGCGGCCAGGGTGCAGGGGGGGTCAGTTCAGGAAGATGAGAAGGTCCTAATGGGAGGGTGCAGCAGGCTGCAGAACATGTCACTGTGCTTAATGTCACCGAATTGAACACCTAAAATCAGCTAAAATGAAAGGTTTTGTGCAATGCGTATTTTACAATTTCTTAAAAGTTCAACAGGAGAATAAAAAGTCGGATGTCCGCGGCCACGGTGGCCTGGCCATCGTCAAATTCACCCCCAGACAGCTGTGACCTGCTCCGGGACTTTGGATAAAGCACTGATCTTCAGGCCCATTGTCCCTGGTCAACAAAACACTAAATTAACCCCAACGCTCGGTCCATTCCTTTGGGGATGGACAGCTGGCAAGTGGCGGAAAGTGATGTCCCCAGAATAAAGTGAGTTTAAACCCAGGAGCAAGGTCCATTCTGGACATCAGAAAGGTCCACAAGCTCGGGAGACAGCGGTCCTAAATGGTCTCTAGGGAGGGCAGGGGAGGTGGCCACGTGGACGGTGTGCAGGGAAAGCCGGAGCCAGGTCTGAAGCTTGATGGAAGCTCCTCTGAGGGGATGTGGTCTTCCAGATTCCCCAGGTGCCAGAGCCCGCCAGTCCATAAGGCCTTGTGGAATGGAAGCCCCTTCCCGCCAGCCCACGGCGTGCTGTGCCGTGCGGGTGGAAACACGCGTGGAACCCAGCCCAGGCCTGGCTCGTGCCACGTGGCTAGCTCTGGGGGAGATGTGAACTGGACAGACCACCCAGGAAAGCCAGCCCCTTCCAAACTGTGGCTCTCCCCTCTGCCCTGGGGACAGCACCCCCTTCCTCTCACCCCTCCAGGGCTCAGTGAAATATATGAAATGGAAAGAGTTGGCACACATGGTAAGTGACAAAGTGTGGCCAACCCAGCCCCCTCTTACGTCAAGAAGAAGGGAGGCAGGGGCTGGGCTTTGGTCAGGGGCAGAGCGTTTGCCTGGCACGTGTGAGGCCCTGGCTTCCACCCTCAGCTCCACATACAAATACACAAAACAAACATGTGTCCACGTACAACTAAAAGGTGAAAATTAAAAAGAAAAAAAAAAGACACTAAGCAACTCAGCGAGACCCTGTCCCCAAATAAAATACAAAATAGGGCTGGGATGTGGCTCAGTGGCCGAGTGCCCCCGAGTTCAATCCCTGGTACCAAACGAACAAAAGCAGTGGCGCCTGATTGGGTGACGGACAGTAGCAGGCGCCATGGAAACACTTCAGCTCTAAAGGGTGCCATCGCCGCAGCCCGAGGCCTGACCCACATCAGTGAGTCAATCCTCAGGGAGGAACGGGTCACGTCTCAGGTGTTCACACAGGTGAGACCTGGACACGGGTGGGGAGTCCAAGTGGGGACACATGGTCCTTGAATCGCCACCTCTGAATATGTATTGACACCACACTGCTAAGGAAACACGTGGGTGGCAGGCCCTGAAGGACTGTGACGGCGCTGTGGGTCTGAAAGGCTGCATTTGACAAGATGGGGAGGTCCACATGAGACACACACATCAGACTCACCCTGGACGAGCAGCTCCACGTCGCGGTGCTGGGAGCCGGCCAGGTTGGTGAGCACACAGCTGTACCTGCCCGCGTCCTCTCTCAGTGCCCGGTCAAGGTGGAGGCTGCCGTCCGCTCGGACAGAGTGCCGGCTGCCCGGGGGGAGCTGGGGGTGAGGGAGCAGCAGCTTGGCCAGGGCCCCCTCTGCGTAGACCCTCAGGCCTGAAGGGTGCAGGCTGGACCGAGAGGCCAGGGTCCAGAGAAGGTTGAAGGCCGGCAGGGGGCACCGTGATGCCCAGCCCCCACCTCTCCAGGGAGTCATCCACCTCCGTACTCTGCAGACCTGGGGGCCTGAGCCCACCCCCCACTTGGCCAGCTGGGCACCTGGACCAAGCTGGGACCGTGGAGGTCACTGCGGGGAATGCGAGTGGGGCAGAGCCTTAGTGATAAGGCCAGGGTGCCAGGCTGCCATGCAGGGGCGGCCTTTCCACGGCCACAGAAAAGGGTATGGCCAACGGTGGGCAGAGGACAGAGCCACGCAGACATGCAGAGGGAGCAGCCCCGGTTCCCCCAGCTGACCTGTCAGACCAGGGCAGGTGGAGGTGCTGGTCTAGTGTCAGCCTGGCCACCTCTGAAAGGCATCCAGTCACAGCCCGGTAGACCTTTACAACAGAACTGCACCCACTCTGGCTGCCCCTGTCCCTGTCCTGAGCCCAGATGCCCACTTTACACTTGTGTTCCAGAGGATGCCCAAGGCCACCCAGGTGCCAGGCCCTTCCAGGCTGGGTGACCCAAGGCCTTCTGCCCCTTGCCTGGCAGCTGAGCAGGCGATTCCATTCTGTGTCCCACGGAGCAAACGGAGGCTCAGCTCCTGGCTCCTTCCCCGACCTGGCCCTGGGGAGACCCCAGTCCTCTGCCTTCCTGGGTGCCTGCTGGTGCTACTCGTGGCCTCAGCCATGCATGGCTGGTCCCCACGCCACGCCCTGGCCACCCAAGACAACCACCACTGCACGGCACAGGAGCCACGCCTGCTGGGGACTCAGAGGTGTCTATGGATGGATGGGTGGATGCCACATGGTGCCCACGGGGCCATGGCCACTGGGGCAGAGAGACAAATTAGCCGTATTCTTGGCCTCAAGAAGCTCAAGTTAATAGAGGACGATTCCTGCACACGCTGGTCTCCCACTGTGCACTGGAAGCACCCAGGGAGTTACTCTCCTAAACCAACTGTGGTTGACCACGGTTGGGTTCCTATCCCAGAGTCCTGATGCTCAGCCACAGCCACAGCGTGAGAGTGAGGTCAGCACCAGGACATTTACAAACTCCCCAAGGGGCTTCTAAGGACATCCCAGTCTGGGGACCTGGCGGGGAGGCTCTGGAGTGGGGCAGGAAAGAGGGAGAAGGGAAGAGGACTTTGCAGGACAGAGACAGAAGCACGGATGGGACAGTCCCCTCTGTCTCTGGGTGCCACTGCCCCGGGGCCCCCGAAGGGCCCAGCACTCACAGGCAGGCCCGCCTTGAGCCAGCGCCTCTCGGGGAGGGGCCTCCCGGCCAGGGTGATGCAGGGCAAGGACACAGGCTGCCCCTCCAGGACCCGGACGGTGGAGGCGCTGCTGGCGATCTGTGGGGGGGCTGTGGGGGGAGGGGACGGCGTCGGCCACGACAGACCCCTGTGAGCAGTCACCGGGGACAGAGGCCCTGAGCCAGCCCCTTCCCCAGGGAACTGGTAAGAGCATCAGGATGGGGCTCCTGGAGGGTCAAAGGTCCCCAGGACACTGCTCAGGAAGCAGGGACACAGCCGCTGCTCTTGGAAGCCTGGCTGTGAGCCCAGCTGTCCTGGAGGGCGTGGTGGCTGGGATGGCTGGGCCCCAGGGAGTGCCTGCCCCCCACTCCCCCAGCCCTCAGGTCCACCGGCGAACCATGCCCAGTGACGGAGAGCCGCGTCTCGGCCTGGACCTTCCCAAAGACGTTCCGAGCTTCACACACATAGGGGGCCTGGTCTTCAGGGGCCGCGCCTGAGGTCAGGAGAGAGGCCTGACTGCCAGGGCCCCCGAGGGCTCAGCCCTGGACCCAGAGAGCCCTGACCAAGCTGGCCCTGCAGAGGTCCAGGGGAGGGCTGGTGGGCTGGAGAGGAGAGGGACCAGGCCTTGCTTGGCCTCGGGAGGGCCTTGGCCTGCTCGTCTGTAGAACGGGGTGGCTCGGCACCTGTGCCTGGCGTGGCGGGGAGCAGCCAGGGAGACGCTGCAGACCGAGGCCCAGTGGGGCTGTGCCGGCGCTCAGCCACAGCCGCAGCGTGAGGGGCGAGGGGGACAGCTCAGGCCAGCACGGCGCTCGGCACGCACCGGGCCCGAGCCCAGCCCTGTATGCGGTTACCCACACGGCAGCCCCGTGGGCAGGCCTGGTCTGTAGGTCATGCCCAGGTTCAGGGCAGTGGAATGACGTAGCTGGGATCACTCCACCTGCTCTCTGGGCTCAGCGATGGGGTCAGGGACTGTCCCCGGCCACCCAGCCCACCCTGACCCAGCCTGATCTCTTACTTTCAAAGAACAACACTCCTGAATCCCACTGGCCATTCTTGCTGCCCCTCCTGGGCCCCAGGGGCTGGCCATCTCCACGACGCCAGGTGACCGTTGGGGGTGGGCGACCCGTGGCCCGGCATGTCAGGAAGGCACTCCTGCCCAGCTCCACGGTAACTTCCTGAGGTAGCTCTGTCACCCGAGGCGCATCTGTAGGGAGGTGGGGCGTCTGCAGGGGGTCCCATGGGCCGGGACCCCAGGGATTGTCACCCACCATCTCTCTTTGCTGGTGCGCCCTCTTCTAGCCGCCTGTGCGCCTGGAATCTGCTTCCTGTCCAGGGCTCCGTGGCCAGCCTGAGCCTAGTGGGTCCACCTCTAGCGAGCTCTCAGGACAAGGCAGAGGCAGACTCCTGTGGACGGTGGCCACGGGGCGTGCTTTACCACAGCCACATACCTGCTCCTGACGGGGGCTCCTCCCTGGAAGGACCCCACCGAGCCTCACTCCAGCCACAGGGACACGTGTGTGGCTGAGTCTGACTGAGATGTGGCCAAGGCAGGGGCTGGTGGAGCCCTCCTGCCTCCCGGGCTCCCCTCTCCACCCGGCCTCCGCCTGGGCCCACGAGGCTCCTGGGGGGCTCCTGCACGCACCCCCGGTGTGCATAGCCGGCTGTCCTGTGCAGGGGAGGACAAGGCCAGCAATCATGTCCCTCTCTGGCATTGCCATGGCCCCATCTGCTCTATGGCACCCCAGCTAGCTGCCTTCTGGGGGACCAGAGGTCTCCTGTACCCTCCCCTACGTGTCTCCCCATTTGCTGAACTTATAAAATGCTACAAAATCAAAACTTGTTGATTATAGAAAACATGGCATCGTCTCTGGGTCCAAAGTGGGTCACTGGAGGAGAGAGGCCCCTGGGCGCCCGACAACAGGCCTCAGCAGCACTGCCCAGGCCAACGCGCAAACGGCCCCGATGGACAGGTCACAGGCCCAGACACCGCAGCATCACCTTCCATCAACCAGGAAGGGACAAAAGACTCGCAGTCCCTTCTGTCCTTCCAGGCGGGGAGCTGGTCCCAGCCCAAGGTCCGGCCCTCCCCAGCGGCCCGGGCGCTGCCTGCTGCGGTCCTAGACCCACCACCAGGAAGGTCCTTGCCTTCTTTGGCCGTTGAGTCCAGCGCCAGGGACGTCTCCACTTCCCTGTCCATCGAGTCCCCCTCCTGCCCTCGGGGACGAGGCAGGTGCCCAGGAGCTCCAAACTCCAGGGAAATTCCCGAAGGGGGAAGTGGGCGCAGCCAGACCCGCCCCACCCTGGGGCCTGCGCAGGCCGCCCCGTCTCCTGGGTCACGTTTCTACAGGGCCCTGGCCCTGGGTGCGGCTTTGCCACGCCACGTGGGCAGAGGGGAGGCTCAGCCCCAGGCCAGAACCAGCCTCCCGCCCAGCTGAGCCTCCCAGCAGGCCTCCGTCTACTCCGGCTGCTTTCCACCCCCTGCCCTCCTCAGCCCCCAAACGGACACTCTCTGGACTCGGGATGTTTTCAAGCCTTCTCTGTCCCCAACCTGCTCTCAGACCCATGGTGAGCTCAAAGGGGGGCATCTGCAGCCTCCCTAAGTGACAGGCTGGGAGAAAGTGCTTTTAAACGAATCATCTCAGTAAACTCAGTGAACAGTATCACCACCCCCATTTTATAGATGAGGAAACTGAGGGTCAGAGAGGTGAAGGAACCTGCCCAAGGTCACAGCTCCAAGTCAATGGCAGAGCTGGGGTCAGAGCCAGGTGTAACCCATACTAAAGCCTGGTTCTCATCCCACCCCTCTGACCCGTGAGGTGCTGGGGACAGCACAGCAGGCATCCCAACCAGAGCCACACCCATCTCTCCCAGCTTCTTGTAGGGGACAATCCCACAGAAGCCAAACCCCAGATTTGGCTGTCCTGCCCTCGACCCTGTCCAGAGCTGTGCCTAGGGGTCTGCACAGCCACCGCCCCCAGAATCTCCGGATGGGCAGGACCCCAGAACCCTTGGGAGACACCACACTGAAGGCCCTCAGTCCAACCCTCCAGGTGCAGATGGGCGTGGGCCCTCCCCACGCAGACTCCTAGTGACCCGTCTCATCCCCAGGAGCAGCCCTCCCTCCGGGTCCTTGGGCAGGTCCCGGGACAGGGACTGCGAAGCCCCCGAGACAGGAGGGTGCCGTCAGCAGCACCAGGGCTCCCCGGAGAGGCTCGGCCCACAGGCACTGCATGGGGCAGCCCGGGTATGGCCTGCTAAAGAATCCTGCCACCTGCCTGGGAGCGGGAGAGGGGACGGGGGTCTGGCCACCTTGACAGATGGCCAGGTCCTCCTGTTGGGCTCCCTGGGCAGCCTGGCCCCTGTCCATGCCCCGACCTCAGCCCTGCTGGCCACACCACCAAGCCAGACCTCTCGCTGAGCCCCTGAGGCGGGGTCGAGCTGCCCCTGGACAGACCCAGGCTCCCCAGTCCTCGGCCTGTCCCAGTCCTGCTCCCTGTCCACCTGTTAGCAGTGACGCCTTCGTCCTGGTCCTGTTCACTTCCCCTTTAGCCCCTGGCTGCTCCCCCTCCCCCTCGCACCCATTCCCACCTCGGCAGCAGGAAGGACTTCCCGGGGCTCAAGTGGGAGCCCACCCGCTAGCCCACTGTGCCCTGTCATCCAGATGAGGCTGGGCTACAGGAACGTCACCTGAGCAACAGCGGTGCCCTGTGGATACCGGGGCAGAGAGTCATGTCTTCTATGTTTCCACACAGACGGAAACTTATACAAAGGACATCTGAGCTCTGGATTATGATTCCCACCATGCTAACGCACCCGCATCAGATTCACTGCAATACTCACAGGACTGAGAACTTGGGCTGAGTGAGTTAACCCTCGTCTGCCCTGGGCTGAACCCCAAGCTGTTTTGGGCACTCCCCAGAGCCCAGAGCCTGCACCACTGAGCGACACCCCTGCATCTTTTTTGTTTTTCACTTGGAGACAGGGTCTTGGTAAATTGCTGAGACTGGCCTCAGAGTTGCAATCCTCCTGCCTCAGCCTCCTGAGTTCCTGGGATTACAGGTGGGAGCCACCACACCTGGCCCAAAGCTCACCTTTTGAAGCTCTTCCCTCAGGGTGATGGCCCTGGAGGTGGGGCCCTGGGAGGAATCAGGGTTAGGTGAGGCCATGAGCGTGGGAACCCCATATGAAGCTAGCACCCTTAAAAGAAGACACCCTGAGACCTCGTTTCCTCTCTCTGCACCAAGGAAAGGCCACGTGACTACACGGCAAGCAGGCGGCCAGCTGCCTCCAGGACAGGCCCCGCAGAACCAGCCTGAAGCCACTCGGAGCCTCCAGAACCAGGAGTGTCCCTGGTTACGCTCCCGTCAGTAGGGCTCTGCTGCAGCAGCCAGGGCCTTAGGGAGGCAGGGCGAGTCAGGCCCGTGACAGGCTCTGGAGGCTGAGGGTCAGTGCAGTGGGCTCCCACCCAACTCCTACCAGCCAGCCCTGGGGACCCAGAGGCCTGACCAGCAACAGGCAGCACTGTTCCCTCGGGCCTGGCAGGGAAGGTGGGAGGAGGGAGGCGGGGAGGCTGCCCCAGGAGTGCCTGGCTGCGGTAGAGGCTCAGAGGGAAGGGAGGCCTCTGCAGAGCCCCGCGGTGCACACACCAGGCCAGCGGTCCCCCTCGGGCTCCCTTCCCTGGGATTTTCCAGAGATAAGTCCCCATGATGCTAAGGACCATACTGAGGTGACAGAGATGGAAACCCTCTGCCGCCTCATCCCCTCCTTTGGGAGCAAGTGACACTGGCCTGAAGGCCGAGGCCTGGTCAGAGCCCCCGTCTGCCTCTGCCCCTGGGCACCCTGGACAGAGCCCTTGGCCACTCTGGGCCGGGTCCCCTCTGGAAGAAGGTGACTATTTTCACCCTGGCTCCCGTGCCTGAGGTCCCTGCCGAGCACCCCTGCAGGCCTGGCTCGGAGCCTGGGGCAGGACCTGGGGACAGAGCCAGCTCCAGGGAGCCCAGCCTGACGTGGATTGGCCAGGATGAGGGAGGCACTCAGGCCCCAGGACCTGGCAGCTGGACACGTGGACCTGGGGAGGCCCAGCCTCAGGCCGGCACTGGGAGGGCGCGGTCGCGGGCACCTGGCCCTGAGGAGGGGGGGTGCCCCACAGAGACCCGCGCCCCCACCCTCCCGAGGACTCATCCCCCGGAGGCCCTGCAAGGGGGCCTGGAGGCTGCCTGGGTGGCTTTCAGGGTGTCTTCCTTCAAAAGGAGGATTGGGGACCGTGTTCTAACTGCGCTGGCACAGGACCACACCCACTCCCGGCTCATCTTTATTACCATTCCTCATTTTAAGTTCTGATTTTTAAAAAAGTTACCATTGGAAAGTCGTCCGGGGCCTTTAAACTTAAGGGCACTCAGACTGCACCTGCTGCCTGCTGGAGAGGTGCCCGGGGACCACAGCGCCACGGGGCCCAGCTCTCTTCTCCCTGCCCTCAGGCTGGCCTGGGACGATTCTCCTCTCCTCACCTATCTGCTGGCTTCCAATTTCAGCTCCGACATCCCCTCCTCCAGGAAGCCCTCCCAGTCCCACTCAGCTCCAGTCTCGGGGTTTCCATGTCCCCCTACATCGTCCAGCCTGACTGCCTGCTTGGGCCCGTGACCAACATCAAGGCAGAGCTGTGTCTCACCTGCCACTGTGTCCCCAACACGACAGGGCCCAGCACACAGGCACCTGCCCACCTCGTGTTGGAATGAATGACAAAGGAAGGAGGCCCTGGACATGCCCAGCCCTGCCTCCCTGGGAGACCTCCAGACCCGGCTCCTCCAGCCAGGGCCTCGCCCTCCTGGGACCCTTGGTCCCCACCCGCCCGGCCCAGCCTGCCCTGCCCAGACAAGCACAGCCCCTCTCTGTGCCCTGAGAACTCCCACCCGTCTTTTGCCATGGCTGCAGCTGGTCCTCGCGGCCACCTGTCACGACTCAGTGTGCCCAGGAGCTGTGCTGTCACTTGTGTGACTTGACGGCTGCCTGTCAAGTCCCAGTGCCCAGAACCAGGCCGGGAACTCAGCCACTACAAGACCACAGCCAAGGCCACCCACCATCCACGGAGGAATGCAGATTCCCCGTCTGCAGGGAGCTTGCGGCCCCCACCCACCCACTCTGTGCTGTTTGGGGGCGCCCAACGCAGCTGGAGGCAGCCGGCCAGCCCAGGGTGCAGACAGGAAGTCCAAGGCCCCGGGGTCTGGGCAGCCCCCAGGACGGCCCAGAGACCCCAGCCTCCTGCTGCTCACGCCCTTGTGGGTCTCTTGCCCAGGGTTGGCCTGAGTGACCACAGGACACGGTGGACATGATGCTTGCACGCTCAAGGCTGGCAGGCCACGAGGACTGTGGCTTCCTCTTGGGCTTTGTCTGACCCTCCGTGTCCCTCTTCTCCCCCGACTCACTTGCCCTCTGGGAGCCATGTCACAGGGCGCCTTCTGGACAAGGCCATCTGGAGGAGGACAGGGCGGGGCAGAGGGCAGGCGCACTCACGTCCAACCTCCAGCTGGATCTCCGCAGAGGCGCCGCCCAGCTCGTTGACGGCCCGGCAGGTGTAGACGCCAGCGTCCCTCTCCCGAGCCGCGGGGATCCGCAGCCTCCCGGAGCTGGAGGCCTCAGGGGCCAGAATCATCTCCAGACCCCCTGGACCAAGATGGAGGGCGTCAGCAGGGGCCGGGGGCTGGGGCTGCCGCCGCTCCCTGACCCTGGCATCTCCACAGGCTGGGAGGGGGCTTCAGGCCCCTGGGCCCAGGCCTGCGGGGTCTCGGACCTTCCCTGCGCCCCTCTGTTGACCAGGCCTGGGCTCAGCCAGTCCCCGACAAGGCAGGCCTGTCACCCAGGGGCTCCACGCGGGGCCTCCCTTCCCTGGGCCTGGTCCCCACTAAGGGTGAGACCTGCTCTTGGAGGGGCCCAGGGAGCCCTTAGGTGACCGTGTCCTCCCATGCCTGCTTCTCTGAGGTCCCCCCAGGAAGGCCTCCTGAGCCACCCGTGTCCCTCAGGGCCTGAGGCCCAATGGTCTCCCTGATACGGACACCCTCTTCTGTTCAACTCTGTGTCCCAGTGGGTTGGACACCCGTGGCCTGAACTGGGCCATCTTAGCCCTGAAGGGTGTGCGGGTCGGTGGCAGGGTGCACGTCCACGCTGCTGTGTGGCCCTCACTCCGCCCAACTTCAGAAACTGTCCCTCTTCCCCAACTGCAGCTCGGCCCCGTTGACCCCAGCTCCCCTCCCTGCCCGCCAGGCCGGATGGGGACCCTGGGTGACGTGGAGAAGGAGCTCAGTGCAGTACCCTGTCCAGCAAGGCCCCCACCCCCGGCTCCCCTGGAGCCCAGAGCAACTATCTGTCCTGTTCCTTAGACCATCACGCGGCCGTCACCACTGCTCGGCACAGCACCGCCCGCTGCCTGACCTTGCGACCTAGGGGCCCATCTGATCCTCACAGCTGACCACAGCGGCTCCCCCCTTCCCAGATGAGGAAGCCGAGCCTCAGAGAGGCCCAGCCACTTGCCCTAGGTCATCCAGGGAGCCAGAATCCAAATCTGGGTCCCACCCTGGGGCTCCCCAGTCCTGGGCCAGCCCTGTGGACACAGCAGTGGGGACTGCTGGAGACAGCGGGCTCTCCCGGACACCCGCCGGGACCCCCCACCCCCGGGGCCACTCCCCACCCCACACACCTCGATACCAGATGACTCGGGGTGGGGGGACCCCAGACGCCTTGCACACCAGCACAGCTTCGTCCCCCACGGCTGCGAGCACCACGGCGTTGACGGCGGAGATGGACGGTGGCTCTGCGTGGGCAGACGACAGGGTGGGACCAACCGCACAGGGCTCAGGGCAAGACCTCCCCCACCGGGGCTCCCCCCCCCAGCCCACCCCAGGCCTTCCCCTCCTGGCCACAGAGCAGCCGCCTCGCCCCGCCCCACCCCACACCCCGCCTGCTCTGTGCCGGGCACCTCTGTCCTCAGAAGCGCCCTATCTGCCCAGTGGCACTTCCCCTGAGCCTCCCGCCAGAACGTAGCTTCCTCTGGACGGGGGGCTTGGCACACAGCTGGACCCCAGGGCCTGCCACATCACAGAGGCTCAGTAAAGGTGGGGACAGGAGGGAGGGAGGTCCCTCCTGCAGAGAGCAGTGGCCCAAGTACCTGTATAGTAGAGGGTGACCGTCTCCTCGTCTCTGCCAACCTCGTTGGTAGCCTGGCAGCTGTAATTCCCAGCATCCTCAGGGGCTAACCCCCGAATGGTCAGCGTCCCCTGGGTGTCCACTTGGACTCTGGAGTCAAGCCATGAAAACATGCTGGTCACATAAGGAGTAACTCCATCGTTAATAACAAATTAGCCCTGCTGGTGACTGCCATTCTGCACTGGCGACCTTCTCTGGGCCAAGCTGGTGCTAAGCACTTTACATACATTCTCTTTTTTAATTCATGAGCTCAGAGAGAGAAAGCAAATTGGTCAAGGTCACACAGCCTGAAGGGCAGAGCTGGCCTCTGGAGCCTGAGCTCCTAACCACACTGTGGCACTGTTACGTCAACAAAGTGGTGATGTTCCCAAGTCTTAGCTGGTCCCAGGAGGAAGGAAGGACAATGCCACTCCCCACCTTCAGATCAAGGCCCGGAAGGGGGCGGTCCTTGTGCCCCTGCTGCCAGGCTCTGTGTCCCGGGCCCCTCACCTGCCGTCGTCTTGCAGGGCCAGGCCCTCTCGGCTCCAGGAGATGTGGGGTGTGGGGTACCCCGAGGCCGAGCAGCTGATCTTCACCTCCTGGCTCTGGGAGAAGTGCTGGGACCTGGTGTCGATGCTGACCTGCGGGGCCTCTGTGGCCCGGAGAGACAGATGGCGAGAGCCGACAGGGCTGTCCCCGGTGCCCAGCCCCACCCTCCCCAGCCGCTGATGGAGGGAGCAAAGGCCAAGGGCCCGGATCCCTGGTGGCTGCCGGGGGATGGGGGAGGCCAGGTGGCCGTCCAGCCACAGGCCCTGATGCCCGGCTGGAAACCCCCTGCCTGCAGAGGGTGCCTGATCCGTGTGCCCCGGGAGGCTTCGGGAGAGGTCAGGCAGTGGCCAGGGCTGGGAACGGTCTCACTCCAGTGACCTCCAGCTGAACCCCGAGGCCTGCCCTAGAATGGCCCCAGGTTCCTCCTGGCGCTCAGGAGTCTCAGCAGACAGACTGTGAGGCACAGGTGCCCCCAGAGGCTCCCCTGGAAAGGCCAACACAGCCCCCCACGCCCGCAGCAGAGCCGAGACAGGGCCTCTGAACCCTGCTCAACACGCCCCAGGCTCCGTGCAGGGTCAGGGGCACAGGAAATGCTTGTTAAATAGTCCATTCCTATGCCTGGAGAAACAGCACCCAGGAAGAGGGTCTGCTAAGTCCTGGGGATACACGGGCCACACCCAGGCCGTAAAAACCCAAGGGGTGCTCCTTCTGCTGCCCCCTCTGCCGTTCAGAGCTGGTCTCTGCACTCCCACAGGTTCCAGTACATTGGGGCAGAGGGAGGCCGTGGGAAAAGGAAAAGACACAGTGAAACTGGCTGGTCTACAGCAGCAGACGTTTAGGTTAGAGGTTAGAATGAACGTCCCAACAGCACTAGGCTTTGGCTAGGCGGCTACAGAATCTCTTTCCCTAAAGGTTCTGAACACGTTGAAAGAGCTGTTGCTGCCCACCAGAGACGCTGTGTGGACAGAGGGGTGGGAAGACGGGCTGTTAGGGTGGACGCCAGGCGGCATGGAGGGCCGACCTTGGGGAGAACAGCAGCAGGAGGAGCCTCACCTCGCACCAGGAGCCAGGTGGATGCCCGGGTGACCCCATTGGCATTGCTGGCCACACACTGGTACCGTCCAGCATCACTGGGGATGATGCTGCTGACCTCCAGGGACAGGTCGGCCAGCTGGGTGACTCGGTCCCTTGAGGATGGCAGGACCCGCCAGTCCCGGACCCACGTCAGATTGTAGGGGGCTTGGTCCAGGACTTGGCACGATAGGACGGCGGTCTCTCCGGGGGACACAGTCACGTTGGGGCCAGGGACCAGCTGCGGTGGGGGATCTGCAGCAACAGGAGCACAGGAAGGACGCAGGCTGAGGCGGGGGACTCCCCCCAGGGAACAAGGCCTGGAGAAGCAGCTGACAGAGAGCCCCTGGGACCACCCGCCCCACAGCAGGGCTCTCCCAGGAATGAGACCCCAGCCGCAAACATGGACCAGAGACTTCGAAGCACAGGCACCAGGGCCTGACGACCAGCCAAGGGCTGCACCCCAACAGCCACACGCCAAGCACACGCCAAGCACACGCCAAGCACATGCATGCTCTGTGGCCATGAGAAATGACGTCCTAGAAACCCATGGGTGATGGCACTCTGGGAACAAATGAGGACAGTTGACTGAGGACAACAGCTGAATGGCATTACTGCCAGGCGTGATCCGGAAACTTTGCTACACAGGACCATCCACTGTTGTTAGGGGACGGAAATGTCCGGATGCTTATCATTCGGTTTAAAATATTTCAACAAAACCGAGAAAAAGCAAATGCAGCCGAACCTGAGTAGCAAGGGTTGAGTCTGAGTGACTGGCACAGCAGCTGCACTGTTCTACTTTCCTGTACTCGTCGTTAAACCACTGAAACACCCCTGCTGTACCGTGAAGTGGTAAATGGGATCACTGCTGGGCACCGTGGCCACGCCTGTCATCCCACCAAATCAGGAGGCTGAAGCAGGAGGATCCCAAGTTCAAGGCCAGCCTCAGCAATCTAATGAGGCCCTAAGCAACTTTGCAAGACCCTGCCCCAAATAAGGGCTGAGGAAGGAGCAGGGGTAGAGCACCCCTGGGTCTCATCTCCACCACCAAAAGCAGAAGAAGACCTGGGTTGGAAGGCATCTATGTTAAGATGCAAACACAGAACAAGGCTGGAAAGTAAACAGGTGAGGATGCTGCGCCCTGGGGACTCCAGGTGCTCCAGCCCAGCCCTGCCCCAGCCCCACCGGGGCACACTCAGCTCTCCTTAAGACCCGGATGCAGAGCCCCGCAGTCTGGTTTCTTCCCTGCAGAGCCGAGACGGCCATTTTTGAAAATAAAGTCAATTTTATTCTGAGAGGGTTTGTGGCATTTCTGATCATCCGCAGCTTGACGGTGCTGTTCTGGCAGGGCCTGGGGCACTCAAGGACGGGTGGCCCCCGAGAGGACCTGGGGCTGGCCAAGCCCAAATGACAAACCAAGAGGTCAGGGTGGGACCAGGGCCGGCAGGACGGTGACCCAGCTGGAGTGCCTGAGCTTCCTCCCACTGAGACCCCACGCCAGGGCCCGGGGAGAGGCCTGGGGCAGGCAGCAGGCAGGTGGCTGACAGACACCACACCACGAGCCACCCATGAAGGGAGACCTGCCGGGAGGAATCTTAGAGGGAGGGTCGGGAGAGAGGGGAGGGCGTGGGGTAGGGCGAGGACAGACCTGTAACAATGACCTGGGCCTTCCCCCGCCCGGTGCCAGCCCTGCTGACCGCCGTGCACTCGTAGCTGCCTTCCTCCGCCTTGGAGGCCCGGGGGATCTCCCAGCTGCTGTTTCCGGACTCCCTGCCGAGAACAGACCTCACCATCACGCTGACCTCAGCCAGGCCCCAACCTTGCCCAGCCTGAGGCCCCTGACCCTGCTAGGAGGACAGACCCCAAATCCTCAGAAAGAATAAGAGGCAGGCAACCCAGAGCACGCGAATTCTCAATATGCTGTGTGACTTTGAGAAAGGCCCTCCCCTCTCTGAATTCTAGGCTCCCATTCACCAGGAGGGGGTCGGGGACACCTGACTCCCATAGCTGGGCCCCCTGTGGGTCAAGTTTTCCAGGAGCTAAGGAAGGCCACCAATGTTGGGGTGGCAGCTTAGAAGTAGGGGAGCCTCAGGCGTACCCCTCCTCCACCCCAGGGGGTGCTGGAAGTTCTCAGGAGGGCTACTCAGGAAGATAATATGACCAAGAACAAGGTCCCTCTCCTGCCACCCACCCCCCTGAGATCTCTTTAGAGCTGCACAGGAATCTTGTGGCAGGGGACAGTCAGCCAGGCATCACTCACTGGAAGTGCCTCTCCTCGCCCAGCCTGGCGCCATCACGCTGCAGCTGAAGCCGGAAGGGCAGGGAGCTGTACACAGAGCAGGAGACCAGCAGGGGCTGGTGCAGGTAGCCATGGATCCGAGGTGGCATGCTGACCAGGGGGGCACCTGCGGGTGAGGACCAGGGCTCAGAGATCTCTGGCAGCCCTGAAAGCCTGTCCTCTGCAGCCCAGCCACGGAGACCCACAGGGAGGCCCCAGAAGGTGAAGGCCAGTGGGGGCTCAGCCCTGGGCTCCAAGAATCAGTGCTCCCCAGGGGCAGCGCGTCCCCTGCAGCCTGTTTCCACCTCTGCAAAGGTGGGGCACCGTGGCACTGACGGGGCCCCCAAGCACCCTGATGGCCGCCAGAGTGGCATCTGGTATCTGAGAAGGCTCCCCAACTCAAGGCCGCAGGGCACAGGGCAGGGCACAGGGCCAGTTTGCACTCTGGCACGAGGCCGCCAGGCTGCATCGGGCTCCCCGGGGGCGGGGGAGGGGTCCTGCCACCGTGCCTCTGCCTGGAGGGTCAGCCTGCCCGTATTTGTTGGAGAAACTTTTTTTTTTTTCATTTTAAAATAAGTACAGTTGGACCATGGCTGCGAATTCAAAATTCACACGCATTTTTTAGATAAAACAAGACTTCAATAAGTCTCACAGCTTGCAATGAGCCCCCTGGGGCCCCCACCAGACACCACTGCCCCCCTCCCTGACCCTGGTCTTGTGGTGACACATGCGCTTGCCTCAGCTCTTGGAATTCCTTCAGCAGCCCAGGGTGCTCCAGCCCCTCGGCCCCTCCCGTCCCCACCAGAAGGCCAGAAGGGAGAGGAGCCACAGGATGCTCCGAGGGTGAGACAATGCACCAGACCTCCTCGGAGCAGGAGCGGGTGAGGAGGAGCTGGTGACATCATGCTCCAGGCTTCCTGCCACCTCCCAGGGGACAGGGCTGTTGGGCCGGCAGCCGCAGCCTCAGGGTGTGCAGCAGCCTCAGGGTGTGCAGCAGCCGTGCTCCCCGCCTGCGGAGCTCTGCAGCCAGCCCCGCTCCCTCTTCCAGGAGCCCACAGGGCCCAGGGACTCCAGGTCCACCCCGCATCCCCAACCCAGAGCTGCCCATGCGAGGGGCACTTCCGACCCCCCAGACCTGGAGCAGGAGGAAGAAAACCCCACCCCACCCCCACCCCTCCCACCCAGGCTGAGAGGGAGACCAACGCCCAGAGCTAAGTCCAGACCCTGGTCCAGCTAAAGGAGCAGGGCAAAGTCCTGCCGAAAGTCCTTCCAGAAGACTCTCCTAAAGCCTCCAAAGACCAAGGGAAGAGGCCCGGGAAGCACAGCAAGCAGTGGAGGCTACAAGAGGAGGCCCCCAAGTGCCCCCCAGGTCCTCAAGTCCTCTCCACCAGGGGCACTGTGGGCAGCTCAGGAGGACGTCCTCCCTGCCTGCACCCCTTTTGGAGAGGACAGAGGAACTGTTCCTTGAGGGGATCCCCATGAAGAAATGCGTGGATGTCAGTGCCGCCCGCCCTGTGAGCTCCCCCAGGCACCTCCAGGGTAGGACAGTGGCAGGAGGAAGACAATGAGGCCAGAGAGGGCCCAGTGGCCAGTAATCCCCATCCTGCCCCAGGACAGGGGCAGCTCAGGAAGTTGAAGCCCTTGCTGCCCTTGGGGAGCCCCCCATCCGGGTGATGAGACCTCAGAGACACAGGGAACGTCCCACAGCCTCTGTGGGGTCAACCCAGCAGGCCAAAGCCCAGAGGACAGACGCCCCACTCCTGCAGTGACAGGAGGGGAACAGCAGCTGCCACATGAGGAGAGCCGTGCACAGGCCCACGCCCGAGGGTGCCCTGAGCCCCTGAGAGCTGCCCTTGCGAGCCTGAGCCTGCGGAGCCTGGTCCGCCTACTCATCTGTAGACGGGGACACCCAGAGCTCACAGAGGCGGTCCATCCACATCCCAGCACTCCTCTGTGGGGGTCTCGGGCACGTCTCAGAACCTCTGTGAGCACTGAGCCAGCACAGGGCAGGTGTGTGGCCCAGGACAAGCCCGTGGCAAGTCCTGGAAATGGTGACGAGAAGTAATGTCCCCGTGCTGCTGATCAGACAGTGACTGTGATTATAGAAGAGCCCGCACCCACAACTGCCCTGCCATGCGGTGCCCACGGTGCCCAGTACCATGGCTGATGCACAGTGGACACTGCAAATGAAGGTCGATAGCTGGGTGGGTGGCTGGGTGGGCAGATTGGTGGACAGGTAGGTGAATGGATGGGTAGGTGGGTGGGTAGATGGGTGGCTGGGTGGGCAGATTGGTGGACAGGTAGGTGAATGGATGAATGGATGGGTAGGTGGGTGGGTAGGTGAGTGGGTGGGTAGATGGGTGGCTGGGTGGGCAGATTGGTGGACAGGTAGGTGAATGGATGGGTAGGTGGGTGGGTAGGTGGGTGTATGGAAGGGTGGGTGGATGGATGTGTGGAGGGGTGGGTGGATGATTGTGGAGGGGTGGGTGGGATGGATGGATGAGTAGGTGGGTGGATGGAAGGGTGGATGGCTATGCATGGATGGATGAATGGACGGGTGGACAGATGTCTTTGTTTTAAACCGTTGAGCCGAGGGCCACGAAGGAGCATCTCAGTATTTAAGCTAATGCCTCGCAGGGGACAGCTGTCCACAGTAGTGTACTGAGCAAACGTTTCCTAATGTGGCCCAGGTAGGGTGGCATCCAGGAAGAAATAGGGCTCTGAGTAGCCAGGGAGCTGGGGGAGCAGAGAGCCAACCACTCACCTGGGGCCACCCCACTGTAGGAAACGCCAGAGACTCGGAGCAGGGCATTTCCTTCGTGGTCCTTGCCCTTCACTTTGAGATAGAAGCGCTCCTGGGGCGCGTGGAAGGGTGGCCCGCCCCACAGCTGCTGGGCGGAGCCGTTGGAGAGGGGCTGCGCGGGCAGAGTCAGGAGGGGCCGCCCTGAGTGGTGCGTGAGCTCCACGGAGTCCAGGCGGCCAGGCGCCTGCAGGCCGGTAGAGTTGATCACCAGGGAGATGGGCACCCCTGCAGGGAGAGGGCGAGGAACAAAATGCCTGCGTCTGGGTTGGTCTCCGCAGTCCTCCTGGGTTGGGGTCCGCCATCCAGGGGCCTTTGGACCACAGCTCAGGAGCCCAGCCTGCTCGGCCCCCTGCGCCTGCTCCCTCACTTCACCATCTACCCCTGGCCAGCTCCTGCTGGGGGTGGGTCAGGGAGAAAGGGGACTTGGTGCTGTCCGTGGTCCTGAAACACTGCAGTCCATCTTGTCCCCCTGCCCCCTGCAGACGCAGACCTGGTGGGGCAGGACCCGGGAGGGACGTGCCTCTCGCCCAGCCCTTGACCTCTGGTGCTGACCATCAAGCTTCAGGAAGAAGCCTCAGCTTGGGCGCGGGGGCCTGGGCCCTGCCTCCCTCTGCCCTGCTCAGCTCCGCTTGGCTTTTCTATCTGGTCGGAAATGAGGCGCTTTCCCCACCGTCAGCCCAGGACACAGAGCTGGATCTGGGTTTCATAACTTCCTGAGCTGATCTGGGAGCTTCCGTCAGACGCCTCCCTTTCCCACAGATCTCAACATTTCTCTTCAGAGATCCTCAAGGGCAGCCCTGGAGGTGTGGTCCTGGAACGCCTCACCAATTTGGAAAGGGCATTTAGAAGCCAGAGGCCCTGACTGCTTTGGGAAGTGAAGCGCCGGTGCTGACCTCACTGCCCTCCCAACCCGCCCCCCCCACCGCCACCACCAGAATGCAGCACCTGCTCCCAGATCCAGGTGTCACCCTAGCCCACGCCCAGTGTCCCCAGCCCTGGGCCCAGGTGCTGGTGACTGCTCGGCCTGCACCTGCCCTGCTGTTTCTCATCTTCCCAAACATGTCTGGTATCCCAGAGGGCCCCGTGCAGCTTCCTTCACCTCCCACCAGGAACTGGCCCTAGAAACAGGTCGCGGTCAGTCCCCACTAACGCCCCACCCTCGGAGTTCCTCTCCTCTTCTGGCTTTTGAGGAGGACCACAGTGTGCCTGCTCTCCCTGCTCCGGTTCTGGCAGAACAGACAGAGAGCTCCCAGCTCCCTTTCTCTCCGAAGGTGGGACTGCTGGCAGGACTGGCACGTGCCACTTGGGTTCCTCCTTACTGGTCTAAAGTGCTCTGAGGTGGTCCAGGCCCCTCCCCGTCTCCCTTCTGAGCTCATCCCAGCAGCACCCTCTGAATGGCCCACGGCAAGGGACGATGCTTCCCAGACTGTAAGCTGGGACCCCGACCCGCCTCCAGATGGTACTTTCTGGCACAGAGCTGAGGACTGCCTGGCCAGAAGCCCCGCCTGCCTGTCTGCGGAGGCCTCACACATCCTCAGACCCTGGCGGGTGGCTTCCATTCAGGAAAACAAGCCCCCAACCTCAATGTCCCCCACTCCCGGCTAGTTCAGCTTGGAAGCAGTTCTCCGATGCTTGTGGAGGACTGAAGCCGTGGGACTCTCGACAGACAGACAAGTTTTGGCAGAAAGAAAGGAGAAGCGTAAAAGGGACACTCAGTGGTAAACGGGAAAATGAGTCTCCTGGAGCCTCTGGGGGCTGGGAGGATGTTCTTAAGGAAAATGTCACTATGTCACCTGGGCTGGGGCCGGTGGAGAGGAGCTGGCCCGGAGCCCAGTGTCTCTCCCTATGGTCCCGGCTTCCCCCTCTGCAGGGCCCATTCTACGGTCACGCGTGGGCAGTCTGCCGCCAGCCTCCACCACTTCCCGAGTGAGTGCCTGCCTGCAGGGGGGACACCGTACCTTGCAAAGGCCACTCGATGGTGTGGTTGAGATCCAGGGAGGGCTGGGTGGAGAAGCCGGCTCGGAAGTTGATGTTGCTGATGCCCGTGATTCTCACAGAATGGCGGCCACTGCTGTAGACCTAGTACAGGTCCCGACCCATGTTAGCAGGTGTCTGACCCAGCACCCCAGCGCCAGCCAGGAGGCCACCAACCTCACCTGGCCGGGCCCTGTGCCAGCTGTGGCTCTCCTGTCTTTGCACATACGTGGCAACTCTCCACTCCCAGGGGAAGGAGAAGAAGCCCCAGCTCACACCCAACCTCTTTCCAGAAGCGGCTCTGCCCTTCAGCTCTCTCCAACATGGGCTAGCCCTGTCTGCCCCCTTCCCCATCAGCATTAGAGCTCTGGGCTCAAAGGTGCTCTGAGTGGAAAGGCAGGCGGTCAGTGCCACCCTTCACCCAGCACCTACCCTAATGCCTAGCACCAAGTAGGAGCTCAATAAATGCCTGTTCAATCAGCAGGAGCTCACATCCTTCCAAGGCAGCGGCTGCTCCATCCCAGGCTGCTCTGTGGAGCTCACCCTAGACCCTGGCTTACAACACCCGGCAGATAACAGTAGGTGCCCTGCAGCCCTGTCCCCCAGCCTCCCCCAAAACTCCCCTGCTTCCCCCAAAACTCTCCCTGCCTCTTTCACACATTCTTCATAGGACAAAGTTCTGAGCCCAGAGCCAGCTCACCCATCCCCCCCAACTCTGAAGTTGTTTCCCCAAGCCCTTCTTGAGTGTTCCCCAACTCCTGCCAAACCGTTCCACTTCCTGTCATCAGCGCAAAGCAGGATGCCCCTCCTGTCCTCGGCACCTCCTCCTCCTGATAGACCAAGTCCCTGCCCACGTCCCCGGCTCCCTGGGAGGCAGGAGGGAGGTGGCTGTTCTCAGGGAAGCTGGGCGCCACCCGCTGCAGCCTCAGCCCTACCTTGATGGACCAGAGCCCAGGGTGCTCAGGCTTGAAGGCCACGACCTTGGCTGAGTCGGGAATGCTGAGGAGGACATGGAGGCCCTCATCCTTCTGCAGGATCCTCCCTGTGGAAGCCCCCAGTGCTCAGTCCGCACTCCACCCGTCTCCGGGAACCCACAGTCCACCAGATGCCAGCCTCCGCCTTCCCAGGAACGAACCCCAATGCCCACCTTCAGGTGCCACCAGCCTCTTCCTTCCCGGGCACCAGGGGCACCCTCTCTGATCCACTCGGCACCCACCCCCACTTCTGGACCCCAGTCTGTCACAGCCTAGGTTTCCAGCTCAGCTAGGACTGAGGTCCAAAGGCAGAGCATACCCAGCGGGTCCCGGACTTCGATCTCAGGCCCAGGCCCGCTCAGCGAGACGGTGACCTCCTTCAGGCTGGGGTCAAATGGGATCCTCCACGTGTGCTCGCCCTCCTCCTCGTGGTCTGTGGACAGCAGGTGCACCTTGGAGGCCTGGATGGCCGACTCCACCCACTTCAGCACCTGGGAGGGACAGGTGGAAACGGATGCCACAGGCACCCTTGAATCCGGCTGCAGCTGTGGGCAGAATCTGACCCCCCCGTACAAGCTGCCCAGGGGCTCAAGTCCACAGCTGGGCAGCGATCTCACTGCTGTGCCTAGGGACCCGGCCAGGACAGCTGCAGAGGTGGAAACGTTTATTTGAGGGCTCAGGGTTTCAGAGGTCTCAGTCCATAGAAGGCCAGCTCCATTGCTCGGGCTCAAGGTGAGGCTGAACATCATGGCGGAAGAGTGTGGCAGAGGGAAGCAGTTCCCATGGTGGCCAGGAAGCCGAGAGGGAGTCTCCACTCTCCAGATACAAAATACATACCCCAAAGACATGCCCCCTATGAACCCCGTCCTCCAGCCACACCCCACTTGCCTTCAGTTACCACTCAGTTCCTCCCGTTAGGATTAATTCCTGATTAGGTTAGGGCTATGGGCCAATCATTTCTCCCGCAGGCCTTCTTGCATTGTCTCACACATGAGCTTTGGGGGGACACCTCACATCCAAACCGTAAAGCCGCCCACCCCCCACTGTCCTCTAGAAGGCCGGGTTCCCGCCCCGATGCCTTCCTGGCTTCCGTGGGCTCTGGATGGTGACACCTGAGTGGGGCCATCCAGAGGGCTCAGCGGGGGTGGGGTGCAGGAGCTGACCCTCAGCAGGGAAGACAGCTTCTTCGGCACCCAACACCTCCTCCAGAAAGTTCTCCCAGTCCTCCTGCACCCACATGAACACTGGAGACCTGGAATCTGCTTGATCCAGGTCATCCATGATGGAACTCAGGCCGTGCTCCCCCAGTAAGCCGGGTCCTCAGGTAAGACCCAGAGGCTCCGCTGGAAAGCCTCAGTCTCTCCCACACCCATGGAAACAGGAGTGAGCAGGCGACGTCACACAGACACCTGGGTGCAGCAATTGCTTATTCATTCGAGAATATTGCATGTTCTGGGCCAGTTGCATTGAAAATCAGATAAACCATAAGGACCCTCTACCTACGATCCCAAGCCACATGGCTACTCTTGGGGAACACCCCCCTGTGTGTGCACAGACCCACGTTAATAGCACTTCAAATAGCCCAAGATGAACTTCACCCAACCGTTTAGTCTCTGTAAATCCTGACGTGGCCCCCAAGGCCCATGCCCTGCAGCCCGGCCACCTGATGCCAGGTGGCTGAACCCGGCTCTCCCCAGGCCTGCTGCGCTGGACCACAGGCAGCAGCCCCCACTCATGCCAGTCCCCTGGCTGCCGCCCTCCCTGCTGACCCACGCCCAGGATGCTTCCTGTCTTGGCTTGAGGCAGCCTCTCCGATTCCAAACGGAGTCCGTCTCCTGGGTGTCCTCCTGGCATCCATCTGCACCCCAGTCACTCACACTCGTGGGCCCCGTGCTGGCTGCCATTCCACGTGTCCCCCAGAAGCTCATGAGCTGGAAACTTGGTTCCGAATCGGTGTGCTCATGGTGCTTGGGAGGGGGCTTCGTGGGTAACTTGGGTCAGATGGGGTCACGAAGGCGGAGCCCCATGACAGCTTTGGTGGCTTTAGAGGAAGAGGAAGGCAGACTCCAGCTGGCAGGCTGTGTGGCCCTCCACGCGATGCCCTCCACCATGTCACGAAGCAGCAGGAAGCCCTCGCCAGATGCTGAGCAGACGCCGTGGCACCAGGCTCTCAGACATGCCAGCCTCCAGGACCAGGAGCCAGACCAACTTCTAGTCTTCATAAACCGGCTGGTCACAGCGGGTTTGCTACAGCAGCAGGAAACTCTTAGCCGATGCTCTCTTCACTCTTGACCCGGGAGATCCACAGGGGCAGAGGCCCTCTGCTGTACCCGGGGGGTCTGAGCCTCCAGCCCACTAGGTGACACAGAGAGGGTGCTCAGGAAGCACCTGTGGCCTGTGCCTGAGTCTGGTAGGACTCCTGCCTCCTGAAGGGGCCATCAGCTTCAACTCAGGCTCACCCTCCAGACAGCCCAGTCCTCTTCCCTCCCCAGCTCACACCTCCTCCTTTGCGATAGTCAGGCTTCCCGGAGTCCAGCAAGGAAATCAGGAAAGAAGAAAGACCTCTCAAGAGTGAGCCAGTTACCTCTTTCCAGGCCCATTACCTCCAGAAGTTTCCTGTGGGCACCCTGAGGCTGAAGGAAAAGTCACCAAGTGCACTGGACAGTTCCCTACCGGGCACCAGCACCACGAGAGAAGAGCCCAGGTGTCTCAGAAGCCCCCACCGGACCCCAGCCCTCAGCCAGCTTCCACAGCAGGGTAAAGCCGGCTGAGGACAGAAGATCTGCAAAGGTGTATCTGGTGGTTTCAAGTTGGCAGAACTATCAGCATTGTGATTTTGAAACTCTGTATCTCGTAGGATAAAGCAAACAAAGTGAAGGTGCTAAAATGTTCCAATCCGGAATTTATTTTATAGCCAAATATAAGACAGCTACAAGCATATAGCCAAATAAGCCAACAAACTCTGCAGTGTGGAATTTGAATTAGAAATAGTATAACCTCAGACAGACGACAGACAGGCAGCGTGGTCCTCAGATCCCAATTTCAATGATCACGAGAAGGGCCAGTTTGGGGCTTCTAGGTGCCACTGCCCACTGGGGTTCCTTGGAGAATGGCTACTTCCAGGTCTGGGGCAGGTAACTGGCAAGGTAAGCCTGCAAGAATTGGTCATTCCATAAAGCAAAGAGGTTCTCAAAGACGAATGGGGACACAGAAAAGGATACGGGAACCAGCTTGCAGGCAGCCCACTGGCTAAATTTGGGACAACTTGAGCCCAAAAAAGAATAACTGAAACATACTGAATTATATAATCTGCATGCCCCAAAGGTACTGGGGAAAGGGAAAGCAGAATGGAAACAGTGAAACTGTCCTTGCCACCAAGTGACTTCCTAAAATCACTGCAAGTGATTCCTGCCTTTTCAATGGGGGGTGTGTGCTTCAGAGTAGCCAGATCACCCCTTCTGAGGAACGCAGGCTCCTCTCGGGAGGACTCCACTTAATAATGGGGAAGGGACGAAGGAATTAGGAAACCGTGGCTCTGGAAACCTGTGTGAGAGCATCCGGGCAGGGATCCACAGGCGAGGGCTGCTGGGAGCCAGGCCTCCCCCCAGGCCGCAGGAGTCATAGGGGGAAAATGTGGCCTTGCGACACCCAGCCCCCGGCTTTCGACACCTTAACCCATAATTGAGCTTCTCATCAGCAAGAGCAAGACAGACACGATTTGTCTCTTGATGTGATGTCACCAAAGTACACACAGCACCAACCACAAAGCGTTCCTGCCAAGAATGTCAGCCTTCATCCAGCGAGGGCCTCAGACCAGCCCAGCTGAGGCAGGAAATAAGGGAGGGACAAAGGGAAGGTCTGTGACACCATAGGACACAGTCAGATGAGTCCAGAACCAACGCCCCTCAGCAACTTGGTTCATTAGATGGCTCCAGATTTAAGGGGGTGCATAGATATAACAATGGAATGAAATGGACAGCACTTGATTTAATAGCACTGCTATTAAAAAAAAATCCTGAAGAAATTCGATCAATTCCAGTGCAGTCCAGGGACTTGATGATGCTCAGAAAGTAGTGTTAATTTTATTTGATAATACTGTAGGCTGTGGTGGATAATTCTTTTTCTTTAGAAATCTATGCTAGGGGCCTGGGGATGTGGCTCAGTGGTGGAGTGCTCCTGAGTTCAATCCCCAGTACAAAAAAAAAAAATCTATGCTAGGAGTAGGGAGGTGACCCAGTGGTAGAGCATTTGCTGATCGTGTGCAAGGCCCTAAGTTTGATCCCCAAAACTGAAAAACAATACATGATAAATTATTTGTGGGCACAAAAGTATAGAGATAAAGCATGTTGAGAAAGAATGTTATCGAAGGTTGGATCTCGTGATAGGTATGAATTTTTCATAGTAATTTCCAAAATAAAAATTATTTTTAAGTTAATAGTTCACATGACTTGAACCAATACCTGAGCAGGCACAGAGGTACACTGTCACCTACCAATTCCAGTCAACTCGAGTGGCTTCTGGATGCTGTTCAAAAAAATGTCGGGGAGCCACATTCAGTCTCAGTCATGAAGAGTTCTGTTATAGATCAGCAAGGTCTGCCCCAGGTACGGGATCAGACAGTGGTCTCGTGCATGCGACCTGTCAGCCAGGCCGGCTCTGAATCAGGGCTTCAGCCCCACCTACCACGTGATCTTCCGTGGAAGGGAAGGGGAAAAGAAAGGAATTGAAAGAATCGCCGGAGATTTAGAAAATGAGTATGTTCTGTTCAGACTGAGCTAAAACATATGTGGCAAGATTTCAGTTATGACAGCATAAGAATTCAGTGTTCTGAAAACTCCTCCATTTTTATACTTAGAGCTACTTCATTCTTCTGTGTCTGCCCAGCTTTCTAAGTAATGTGTCTCTTGAAAAAGTCCCACCTGTCTTGGCCGAGGAGGGGGATGAGGCTCTTCGTCCATGGGGCAGTGACTGTTAGGAGAAGCAGCAGGGTTCCCAGCTGAAGGTGGGCAGAGCCACTCCCCAACAGCATGGAGGCACTCCTGTGACCACTGTCCATCCTCAGGAGGGAACCCTGCCTGAGCAGAGCTACGGGACGAGGTGGCGGCAATTACCCAGACAGCCCAGGGCTACCGTGTTGCAAGGCTCTTACAAGCTCCTTCTAGGATGCGCTGGTGGAGGGAGGATGCAGTTTGGGCTACTGAGCCACAGAGAAGGCTGGGACATAGGGTTGCCACCCAGTGACCCCACCATGGGCAGCCCACCTGCACACAAGTGGCCACTTGGGAGTTGAGGGAGTCAGACCCAGACCCCCTTGCCCACAGCAAGGCCAGATCCCCTGCAGGGCCGGGCCTGGGAGCGAGGCCTCCTGGACCCCGTCGTGCCCCTGGGGATCCAGAGCAGGAGTCGGGGAGTGCAGCTTTCATTAAGCAACACAGTGTTTACTTGGCAGAGCAATGGCTTCCAGATGTTAGCGGGGCTGGGGGCCCAGGGCCTGCGCTGCCTGCGGCTCGTCTCCTAGTTGCTAATGGGAAGGAACACAAAGATCTGGCTCTGCTGCTCCAGCCAGATGGCTGCCGCTCGGCACTTCATGGCAGATAAATCATCCCCAGAGGCCCTCCCAGGACCTTGACAGCCAGGGCGATGGAGGAAATGCACAGGGAACCCAGAGGCCGAGCGGCCTGGGAGCCGCAGGCAGAAGACTGAGGTCGTGGGCCCGCGTGAGGAGACTGGGCCTGGGGAAGGGCAGAGAGCCCAGGTTGACGGGCTGTGCCCTTTGCCAGACGGGTGCTGTCTTCCTGGGAACCTTTTCTAGAGAGACCGTGATAAACTGGGGGCGTCTTAGAGGCATGGGGGAGTTTGCCCATTGCTAAAGCTTCCCACGGGCCTCCTGGTGCCTGGCCTCCTGATGGGGGGTCCCAGGCAGTTCCCTTCTGCCCTTCCACCACCCTGTCAGCCCCATTGAGCACCCAGGGAGGCCACAGCCACGGCGCCTGCTCAAGCTTCCTGTAGGTAGGTGGCAGAGCCCCAAGCCAGGCGTCCATTCCCCGCCCCACCTCCCCCAGGATGAGGTCAGCTCTCTGGGTCCCTCCAGATCCAATAATCAGAACCACCTGGTCAGAATCTCCCCACCCACGCTCACCCTTCCTGTCTTAGAAGGCAGGTCACCTCCTCCCTAGCTGATCCCCAGAATCGGGCAATTTGTGGTTTGCATGTGCTACCACTGGGCAAGGGAAGGGCCTAGCCCCAGGGCCCACCCTGAGAGCTGGGGCGGGCCTTGGGGAGTGCTGTGAGATGAGAGGCCCAGTGTCCTCCTGGGAGAAGGCAGGAGGATTCCCAGGCCAGGGCAGGCTGCAGGTGGGAGAGGAGCAAGCAGCTCTCTGCCCCTTCTCCTCCCCCTGGTCCCTCCACGTCACACAGGCCAGTGACAGACAGTACCCTGAGCTGTGTGCTCTAGAGAGCCCGGGAGGACACACTGGGGCAGGAGAGTTCTTGGTCATATCCAAACCTTGATGGAAAATACACACTTTCAAGACAGGCCCAGGGGCCATGCTGTCCGCCTCCAACACAGTGCCCTGTCCACGCAAGGGTGGTCACAGGGCCAAACCCCTGGTGAGGGGAGACCTCCAGCTGCCTTTAGACACCCCAGAATTGCACAGGGGCTCCTGGCCGACTCCACAACTGGGAGGCGCCGAGTGCCTTCTCTGCCTCCCCCCACGCATCTGCTGAAGCTGCACCGGCATGCAGGCGGCGCTCAATAGAGGAGAGCAAGAGTGTGCAGAACACGACACTCCCCCCACACGGGATGCACTTTGGAAAGGTCGAAGGGCTAATGACACACACAGGGTTCGGGACTTCTGCAACCTCTGGGGAGGCTCCTCCCATCTGGAGCCTCGCTGTCCCCAGGAAAAGCACCATTGGCCCCTCCTGGGGGGTGACCATAGCCCTGGCTGCCCCAGCTGCTTTCCCAGCTTGCCCAATGTCAGGGAACACCTGGAAGAAGCCGCGTGCGAGGCATGAGGCTAAGGAACAGAGCTCCCTGTCCGGGAGCCCAGCCCTGGCCATCAGCAGTCCCACCGAGTCTGACACCTGCTGCCCGCCAGACTCCCAGGGCAGAAGGCCAGGCACCACAGCCCAGAAGCAGTGACTCCCTGGGCCCCTGCCTGCCCAAGAGGACTCCTGGGCCAGCCGCCCTCCAGCGGCCTGCCAGGCTCCCCGTATCTGGTTTGCACCAGCAGGAACCCAGTCTCAGGGGGTGGTCCAGAAAGGTCTCCTTAGAAGCAGGGATGGAGCGGTCCCTCCATTCCGCCTCCGCCTGCGCCCGGGGCTCCGTGCCCGGGAAGGCTGACGTGTCACCGAGAACCATAAACGCCATCTGTCAACAGGGAGCTCAGGCACGCTAACCTAAACACGGCCCTGGAGACACTCTCCGCAGTTCCTAAATACACAACTCCCGAAGCCTCTCCCTGAGGGACGGCAGGGCTGGCCCGTCCACCCCCAGCCTGGGGCTCTGCCTCTCACACCTCTCCTTCCCCGTGAGCCCATTCCACAGCCACTTCGCCAGCCCCTGCTCCGCGCTGGTGGCCATGCAAAGTCCTGGAGATTCTGTAGCAAACAGGACGCACGTGGTCAGCCCTCAGGAGCTCACAGACTAGTGACATTAAATTATCACACGAGCATAAAATGACAATCACATACAGAAGCACAGGGAGCTGGGACAGTGTAGAAAGGAGACTGAATCTCGACAGGAAATCCAGAAAGGCCCCATGAGAGGGTACAACTGAGGAGGAGCTGGAAGAACACAGCATGAGCAAAAGCCCTGGGGTAGGAAGACCAGGGACAGTGAAGAGCCAGTCAAGGCCAGGAAGGTGCTGAGTGGGGGCAAGGGGAGAATAGGCAGTGAGGTGAGAAAGGCAGAGGGTCCCCTAAGGTGGACATGCCGGCAGACAACAGGCAGGGACCTATAGGCAGAACTACTTTAGAGGGGTCCAGGGCTTACAGGAGCCGGCTCACACAAGCCCAAGAAAGCCAAGTGTCAGGCTCAGCGAACCCAACTCTGTTTTGGTGACTTTGTAAGAGCAGCTCCAATGCAGCCAAAGCTGGAGGATTTACACCGTGGAAATGGGCAGCCTGTTCTTGGCAGAGAGAAGGCTGTTAGCCAGTGCTCACCAGCTCAGCCCTGCGGGAGCCCTCCACTGCTGGACAATGGGAGTGGGCTGGAGGGGCAGCAGCCCCTGAAGAGCCTGTGATGGTGCCAGAGAGGAGGGGCAGGACCTGGTGAGTGCCGGGCTCCAAGGGAATCCAGAGGGTGGCCCTCAGGCCACAGGACTGGGCATGTTCCCAGCCACACGGCCTAGACCTGGTGGCTCCTGTTCTCCCCACCCACCTCGGCTTCCCAGGCTCTGGGGAGCTCAGGAGGAGCCCCAACCAGCACTTCTGCCAAGTTTCACCAGGTCCACCTGCTGGTGGCCCCGCGGTCGCACCCACCCCCTGTGCTTCTGCAAGCCTCAGCCTCTCTACCTGCGAAGCTTTTGCCTGTGAACCCAAAGAACCTGCCTTGGGCGGGGTGGGGTGGGGTGTCATTGAAATGACGTCACCTGCCCTGATGAGAGCCTCCCGCCCCCGTCTCGGGTGATGGCTCTGCTGGGCTACAACTGCTAGTCCCCCAGCAGGCAGAGCCACGCAGGGCGCAGGGATGGGCAGCGTCCTCCTGACCCTGACAGCAGGCCTCACCTCTGCCACTTGCTGCTTGTCCAGGTGGAACACCTGCCCAGAGCTGGTGGAGGCGATCTCCTCGTAGGCCAGGTAGCCAGGATGCGTGCGGTCACCACAGTCCCCCGTTAGCACGAAGACCACCTGGAAGACGGCAGGCACAGGCCTGGCTCAGGACCCCCGGCCACCTGCTGCAGGGTAAGTGGCAGGGCCCTTCCCGGCTCTGAGGGGGGTCATGAGCGTGCCCATCTCAGCATGACGAGGAAGAGGGACCACCTCCCGGGGCCGCTGGCCCGCAACCTGCCAGGCTCAGTCCCCGGGTTCCCACGGGGTCAGGAGCTGGGGGAGGGCCAGTGCTCACAGTGGACGCCTCATACATGGGATGAAGCCCATGTCAAGGGAGGCTCGGAGGTGACCTTGTTGGAGTGCCCCTGGAGGCTGCAGCCAGGGGGACCCTGCGGTGTCCCAGGCAGCAGGGTCACCTGTGACTGCTTCAGCTGCAGGAGCTGCAGCAGCTCCTCCTTCTTGTGGTGGTCCTTGGCTCGGGCATCCGAGAAGACGTAGATGAAGGAGCCGGGGTTGGCGACCTCCACGGCGGCCTTGATGGCCCCCACGCTCATCTCTGGGCAGTCGCCACCTCCCTGCAGGCGGGGGCTCGTCAGCGGCTGCCGCCCACCTCCTCCAGAAGGACCCACCCCAGACCTCTCCAGAGCCACGGGGAGGTGCCCTGGTGCCCCCGCCCCAGGGGGCCAGGCCAGGCCCAGCTTCTCCCTGCCAGAGACACCACATGGCACCAGCCCATGGCAAACTTAGGGAAGCAGCTCGGCTCATCCACCCTGCGACGGTGATGGCCACCCAGGGGACGTGTGGGCGGCAGACAGTGGGCCACCAAGCCCACACGTGTGTCTCATTACCACGTGATGAGTGCTACAAGTGGGGACAGGGAGGGGACATCTAGCAGACAGCCCAGAGGAACCGCAGACGGCTGCTCAGGGCGGGAGGGGCAGAAGAGGACAGAGGGACCACCTCCTCGTCCATCGGCCTACGACCTACCAGTTCAGTCCCCGGGTTCAGCCCACCGAGGTGCACCCTCCTGCCTCCCGCCCAGCGCCCACGGCTCTCTGCTGTGCGGCCACCCCTTCACCAGTCCACAGCCCCCTGCAGCTGCAGGACTTTGCCTGGTGACTTCTCAGCAAATGCTTCTTTCCAACTGGCCCTTTCACCCCATGGCGAGTCACTGAGTCCCAGTATGAGGGCCTGTTCTGGACCCTGGGAGGCCCTGCAGGAGGCCTGGCAGGGGAGGATAATGGGGCCCCTGCCCTCGGGCAGCTGGTCTCAGTGGGTGGGACCAAGAACAGATGCTGAACCACCGCGTCTGGGGTGGCAGAGGAGCCCAGGTGGCCGCGGGGCGTATGACCCAGGCTGCAGCCGGACTGGGGGTTGGAACTGACCTGCCTCACATTGGCCCTCAGCTACCACACTTGCCCTTAACTGGGGACCCCCATGAGCCACCTCTTTCTATCCTGCAGATTCACTCATTAAAGGATAAGCACCTACTATGTGCTGGGCACAGGGGCTCTGGGAGGTACTTGGTTCACCGAATGAGGGAAGAACCCAAAAGTCAGCTCCCCAGGGCCTCCAAGGTGGGCTGGGAGCCTCCGGCAGAGCTGAGGGGGGTCATGGCAGCAGGGCAGGGGGAGAGCCGCTCTCTTGGCTGCTTGGAGGGGCTAAGACCTGGGCCTCTGGACACTGAGGTGACAAAGGTCAGCAGGCTGGGCAGGGGACAGGGACGGGGGAGGGGCAGCCCACCTGCACGTAGAGTTCTCTCAGCTCCTTCTGAAACACCACTGGGTCTGCTGTGAGGGTCACTGGGCCAATATCTGTGGGGAAGAAAGGGGGACCCAGAGCTCAGGGGGGCACAGAGGAGGGTAGAGGGCAAGCCCAGTCCCTGCTCCCAACAGCAGTCCCCAGCCTTTGTGACCAAGACTCCCCTAAGAATGCCCACTCTGCCACCCAGCCCACTCCCACTCCCAGTGGGAAAGGGATTCTGGGAAGACAGAGACGGAGAAGCAAACCATCACCCTTTCCCTTTCCAGAACCCAAAGCAAGCACCCAACAGGGGCCCACCAATGAGAATGGAGCCTTCCAGAAACCCCAACTCTGTGTGGCTTGTTCACATCACACGACTGAACCCGCCAGGGTCATCCAAGACGCACACACGGGAAGTACCTTTCCTTTGGTTCAGCAACGGCTCCTCAGCCGCAGCTCCCACAGGGGGCAAGGCAGGCAAGAAAGAGCGAGGAGCCGCCCTGAGCCCTCTTACGGGGAGAAGCCATTCAGTGAGGCCAGGGGTCAGGCTTCAGCGGATTGAGGCTAGCTTCAGGATGTCCCCTGTCAGCAGGTTGACGGACATCTAAGGAGGCCACGCCCATCTCATGTGCTGTGTGGGATCAGGGGCAGAGCCAGCGAAAAGGCACTTATGTGAGAGGCCGCGTGGGTCCAGCCCACCCTGTGCGCTCAGCGCCCTGGTTCTCACACAGCCCCACGCTCAGGGCTCAGGGCGCTCGGTTCTGTGTGGCAGCTCCCGACATGTGTTCAGGGCAGCAGTGAGGAAAAGTACACAGGTTGGCCACGCGAGAATTTGGCAGGACGGGGGCAACGGGAACACCCATCCAATGCTTGGGAGCACAAGATGGTCCAGCCCCTTTGGAAGACAACGGAAGCTTCTAAAAAGTCATCCACACATCCACCACATGATCTGGCCATTCCAGCCCCAGGTATCACCCAAGAGAAATGAAAACACATATCCACAGGAAGGATCCTACTCGAATGTTCACGGTGGCTGTGTTTGTAACAGGGCCAAGCTAGAAGCAAGCCCAATGTCCATCAACCAGGGAATAGACAAACTGGTGCATTCATGTACAGTGTTCCCCTTTACCCATGGGAAATACATTCCAGGACCCCATAGATCCCTGAAACCAGACAGTAGCAACCCCTTCATATGACTTTTTCCTGTATGTACATACCTATGATAAAATTTAATATATAAATTAAGTGCAATAATTAGAGATTAACAATAACTAATAATAAAATAGAACAACTGTAACAATATGATAAAATTGCCAGCATCGCTACTCTTGTGCTTTGCTGCCATTATCCAGTAAAATAAGAGTCATTTAAACATAAGCTGTATGATAGCATAACAGTTGGCCTTGGGCAAAAACCAGGTGGATCAATAACAGAGACAGCTACTGGGGGACTGACAGGGATGTAGTATATACTGCTTGGATACATTGGACAAAGAGATGAGTCACTTTGGTCAGGATTGGACAGTGTAAGATCTCATCACACAACTTGGGATAATGTGCAGTTTAAAATGCATGAATTGGGATGGGGCTGGGGCTCAGCGATGCGCCCTTGCCTGGCATGTGTGAGGCACTGGGTTCGATTCTCAGCACCACATATGAATAAATAAAATAAAGTTCTATCAATAACTAAAAATATATTTTTAAAAAGGCATGAATTATGGGCTGGGGCATAGCTCAATGGTAGGGTACTTGCCTAGTATGTGTGAGGCCCTGGGTTTGATTCCTAGCACCACTGTAGAAAAAAATTTTAAAACCTATGCATTGTTTATTTCTGGAATTTTCCATTTAACATTTTTGGATCTTGGCCAGCTATTGGTATCTAAAACTATGGAAAGTGAGCTGCAGATAAGAGGGACCACTGTGATCAGGTTCCACTCAGCAGTGCTACAGAAGAAATGACCAACACGGGTCCCAGCGGGATGGACCCCCATCCTGTGTGCGTGAGAGAAGCTGGACAGCACCTGCTGTGACACAGAGCCAGTTCTAGGAAGCTCTGGGGCAGTGAGAGGAAAGCAAAGACAGAGGCAGCCTGCAGGCTGGAGAGCGCCAAGGGGCACAGGAACCAGCTAGGGGACGGAAATGCTCCACGTACTGGTGGGAGTGTGGTTTCCAAGGGGTGTCATTTGTCACAAGTATACAGAGAAGATCTGTGCATTTCACAAATAAAACACAGAAATGATAAGCCAGGCACGGTGCTGCACACCTGTGATCCTAGCTACTGGGGTGGCTGAGGCAGGAGGACCTCAATACTGAGGCCAGCCTCAGCACCTTCGTGAGACCCGGTCTCGAAATCTAGGAATGATTATCAGTGAGGGCGTGGGGTAGAGGGAGGTGCAGGTGAAGCAAGAATAGCAGGAATGTATATATACTTCATTTTGTTTATTTATTTTTTGTGTGGTACTGAGGATTGAACCCAGTACCTTGCACATGCTAGGTGAGCCACAAAATAGGACTTTTTTTAAGTTGTAGATAGACCTTTATTTTATTTATTTATATGTGGTGCTGGGAATCGAACCCAGTGCCTCACACATGCCAGGCAAGTGTGCTACTGCTGAGCCCCTGCCCCAGCCCAGTAAAATAGGACTTTTTAATATGTACTTGCATGATATATTTTTGAAGATGCTTCATGTTAAGTGCCTGGCAATTCGCTACACTCTTCTGCTTACTTTGTTTCTATCTGCAATGTTGCCTTTTAAAATAGCAGTAAGGGAGCAGGGTGCAGGCAGGGCCCAAGCTCACAGGCAGGTCTGGGGACTGAACACCTGAGTCCTCATTCCTGGCCAACCAAAGCCACCTTTTCCCTTTAGAAAGATGGCGGCACCTGGAAACCCAAAGGTATGCAGGGAGAAGCTCTAGAAGGTTCTACACTGGCCAACAGACACATGCAAATTAAAACAGAACACCATTTCTCACCTATCAAATTAGCATCAAGTCTTGTTAGCACTCTGGAAAGAGAGTGACCTCCCCACGCTGGCAGAGACTCAGGTGCAGCTCGGCCTCGTGGCTCATCCACAGGAGGGCAAACCCACACAGTGGTTTTGGAGGCCAATGTGGCACTCATGATCAAAACTGAAATTGCTCACGCGCTCACACTGAGCTGTCTCATTTGGGGGATCCACCCTGTGGATCCGTTTGCAAATGTGTGTGTTTACTGTAAAGAAACTAAAGCAGCCTATTTTACGCTGGAGAAGGCCGGTGGGATGAATTAAGATAATTCCTCCTGAAGCACGTGATGTCATCATTATGGAGGACCGGGAGCCGGCACATTTCCTGACACAACACAGCGCGTGGGAGGGGCGCTGCTGCAGTGTCATTTTTTTTATTTTTAGTACCAGGGATTGAACCCAGGGGCGCTTAACCACTGAGCCACCTCCCCAGCCCTTTGCATTTTTTTTTTTTATTTTGAGACAGGGTCTCCCTAAGTTGCTTAGGGCCTTACTAAATTGCTGAGGCTGGCTTTGAGCTTGTGATCCTCCTGCCTCAGCCTCCCAAGCTGCTGATATAACAGGCATTCACCAGGATGCCCAGCTCTATGCACTATAATTTTGAAAATTAAGTATATGCATGTATAGAAGTGAACATACACACACACACACACACACACACACACACACACACACAGAGACAGCCTAGAATATTTTTTAAACAAGTACAATTTTGTAATTTTTTTGTTTTGGGGTGCTAGGGACGGAACCCAGGGCCTCAAACATGCTAAATACATGCTCAATACATGCTCTCTCAGTGCGCTGCAGCCCTAGCCCCGACTCTGGAGAATCAAAAAAGAGATTATTAACTACGAGAGCTAAGCCTGAGGCCAATACTTGACAAAGACCACAAAGAGCACCAGGGACCAGTCCTATCTACTGAAACCAGACGCAGAAGTCCCACGCAAAGAGCTGGCACTGGAGGCCAGCTGAGTATTAAAGAGAAGTCCACTGTGACCAGGCAGGGCTGGGCTAGGAGTGCAGAACAGCTTCACATTAAGAAATCACAGTAACAGGTCAACAGGAGAAAGTCACTCACTGAAACTCAGCCCTTGGCCAGGTGGGTGTTTGGCTTTTCTTTTCTTTTTTTTCTTTTTTTTTTTTTTTTGACTTTGGTGGCATTTTGTGTTTTGGTGACAGAATGAAAGCATCATCCTTCACCAATGGCCAAAGCCTCACACCAAGAGCCAACATCAGACCACAGTGTGAAACCGGAACAAGACAAGATTGCCTGCAGCTGCCACAGTATTGGCATTGTTCTGGAAGTTCTCGCTGGGGAGTAATACAGATATTTAAGATAAAGGGGACATTTGATTGGAGGAGACAACATTATAATTTGGACAGGCTGTGGCTGTCAGCCTCGATCCGACTCATGACCCAAAAGATTAGTAAAAAATTGAAAAAAATATACAGAAAGGAATTGCTCTCCAACATGATACCAATGCTCATTTGCAAAAAAAAAAAAAAAAGAGTAATGGAAAAATATCCTTAATATAGTAACAAAAGCCAAAATGTTTAGAAATGATCTTTAAAAGAAAAAGAAATGGGTGGAACTTAGAAGGAAAAAAAACTACGAATCTTTTCTAGAGGAAATAACTATGGGAACAGAGGAGACGCAGCCTTCGAGGAACAGGTGAGTTTTTTAAAAAAGACAGAACTTTTCTTCCCAAAGTCGAGATTGAACACGATCCCAACCAAAATCACAACTGGATTTTTTTTTTTTTTTTGAAATTGACAGAGGTTTTCTGTGTTTCATCTGAAAGAACAGATGCTCGAGAAGATTCTGAGAATGAAGAAGGTGAACAAAAAGAGGGAGGGAGCACGGTGTGGAGCAGCAAGGCAGGGCCCCGCCAGCGTCCACCCAGCGCCACAAGAAAAGGAACGGGCTGAAGACCAGGAAGTCCCCGTGACTCTGAAAATGAGCGGTGTCTGGAGACCAAGGACAAAAGAACTGGGCTCTCGTAGGAAGGCTGTTCCCCGTGGGCCATGGAGTGACCATCCCGCAGCCAGATCTGGGCAGGCCAGCACTGAGCGGTCAAGGGGTGGACACAGGGAGCGGGTGGAAGCTGGCTGTGGCCACTGGAATAGGAGGCCACAGAGAAGCCACACGCACTTGGCTCACCACATATAAATAAATAAAATAAAGGTCTATCAACAACTTAAAAAAAAAAAAAGTCCTATTTTGTGGCTGACCTAGCACATGCAAGGTGCTGGGTTCAATCCTCAGTACCACATAAAAAATAAATAAATAAAATAAAGGTATATATATATTTTCCTGCTATTCTTGCTTCACCTGTACCTCCCTGTACCCCACGCCCTCTCTGGTAATCATAGCTACTGGGGTGGCTGAGGCAGGAGGACCTCAATATATGTGTGGGAAGGGGCTAGACCGGCCCACGAGGTGATGAGCTAGAGTGGGCCACAGGGTGGAAGGCAGGGTCAGCGTCACATAGTTCACGTGGCTGCGCCTGCAAACACGGATGAGATACAGCTGAATGCACAGGCTCTGGGCACAACCCAGACCTCGCCCTGCCCGCTGAGGGAGAGGCAGGGACACCCCAGTGGCAGCAACACACTCTGCCCTGGAGTGCGGCTGCTCACGCACAGCAGGAGGCAGGCTCCCTGGGGAGATGAGCCAGCACCCTGCAATCACAGGAGGTGCTCAGAACTCGGATGTAAATACCTATGTCCTTCTAAATGCCACAGCGACAAGGAGATAGGACAACTCACCACAGTGTGAAGTCCTGGGGCAGAGAAGGGGCACCGAAGAGAAACTCAAGAACACTGAGTGAAGTGTGAACTTTAGTTAGAAAAAAGCGTATCAATGGCCACATCAATGTTTATAGCAGCTCAATTCACAATAGGTAAGCTTTGGAACCAACCCAGGTGTCCTTCAACAGATTAATGGATAAAGAAAATGTGGTACATATACACAATGGAATATTACTCAGCCATAAAGAAGAATGAAATCATGGCATTTGCTGGTAAATGGATGGAATTGGAGATTTTCATGCTAAGTTCCAAAAAAACTAAAGGCTGAATCTTCTCTCTGACATGTGGATGCCAACCCACAACAAGGGGGGCAAGGGGAAGAACAGAAGGTCACTGGATTAGATCAAAGGGAATGAAGGGTAGGGAAGAGGAATGGGAATAGGAGAGACAGTGGAATGCATAGGACATCACTTTCCCATGTTCGTACAGGAATACATGACCACCATAACTCCACATCATGGACAACCACAAGAGGGCAAGTTAGGCTCCATGTATGTTGATATGTCAAATACACTCTACTGCCTTGTATAACCAAAAAGAACCAAAAAAATGAAAAAAAGAGAACACAACCACAGTGGCTAACTCGCTGTGTAGATGGACCACAGTGATGTAAGATGTTCATAACAGGGAAACTGGGTTTTGGGTGATTCCTGTGTTATCCTCACAATAATGCCACAAATCTAAAACTTTTCTAAAATAAGAAGCTTATTAAATTTTTTTAAAGAAAAGATAACATGAGGCAGAATTCACTCTATTTGTACCTATTATAAAGACTAATAATTAATACAATGGGCTCCTGGCCCAAGAATGATCATAAAACAGAACCAATCAGATAGCCCAGATTGATTCCTAATAGATAAAGCAACTTGGGTAAGGTTCAAATGATAGAGCAAAAAGTTATTTGATTAAATGCCCCCAAATAATCAATTATCCTGCCGTAGAACTACATTTGTTTCCTAGTCGCAACTTGCACCAATTATTATTTTTTAATTCACGATGAAAGGATTAAATGCCAAGAAAGAAAACACAAAAATCTAGAACATCTAACTGATTTTGTGATCAAAAAATAAAAACCAACCTTGCTAAAGCATCCATGTAAATAAATCACAAAAGAAAAAGATCAATAGATTTCATAACATTTAAAGCCTCAGAACATCAATAATACTGGAAGACAAAGGCCCGGGAAACACCAACATGCAACCAAACACTTAACGACATCAGCGTCAGATCCTCCTGTCGCCCAAACAACCACCCAGGTTCCCGGTGGAGATACCAGCGAAGAAACCAGCGATTTACAAGAGAAGAAAGTCACACACAAAAACCCTCATGAATTGTTGAGCCTTGTGAGTAATTAAAACTGGAACATTCTCCATCTTTGGAATTAGGAAAAACATGTTTTTGTTTTTATCTGGGGATTGAACCCAGGGTGCTTTACCACTGAGCCACATCTCCAGCTCTTTTTACTTTGAGACAGGGTCTTGCTAAGTTGCTGAGCCTCAAACTTGCCATCCTCCTGCCTCAAGCTCCAGAGTCACTAGGACCACAGGCCTACACCTAACTCCTAGTGTCAGCAGCTAAACTGGGAGAGGCCACCTCGGCCACTTCTGGTGAACATTCTGGAAGACAACTGGACCAGCCGCCCATCTCTCATTGTGTTAAAATGGCCTGGGAATTCCACTTAATCCTACAGAAAGACCAAAGATGCCAAGATCTTGACCCAGGAGTGATTTTTATCACATTTAACTAGAGAAAACCTGAAAACAATATAAATTTCCAGTCAAATGAAACAACGAACAAGTTTCCACCTTTTCTACTCGGGGAGCATGCCATTTTTTGCATTTAAAAACTTATTCACAACATTTCCAAAGCACGAGTCCTTCTCCACAAAGCCCGTGCCGTCTAAGACCACTCCTCTTCTCCCTGACACCCCTCCAGGGCTGCCAGCATGCAGATCTGGGGGCCAGCTGGCTAAAAGCCCTACTTCTCAAGCTTTCTCCCACTGAAAGGAGTTCTGTCTGCTGAATCAAAGACACAGCCAGCCCTGACCCCCAGCGCCAGCCCCTGCCGAAGCTCCAAGCCCATAGAAGGAAATGCAAGGTCTCCAAACCCTCAGCCAGGCAAGGCTGATCCAGGCCTGGGCTCCTCCTCCTCCCACGCACACCTGCCTCTCCACTCAGACTTCCTGCCCCTACCCAGCAGCTCCAGCACCCCAGGACGTCCTCTGCCCTAACTGTGTCCCCAGCACCCAGCATCTACAGTCAAAAACTACTAACCTTCATTCCTGTTCCTCAAGCCACCCTGCAGGTGGCTTCCTCAGGAATCCTCTCCTTGGTCCCCTCCCCTGAGGACCCACCTGGGCCAGGAGCTAGTGCTTGAACCAGAACCTGTCACCTTCCACTCTACCTAGTCTGTCCCCACAGTCTGCCCACTTCCACGGGGAGACTCACAGGGCTCCACCACATTCCAGCCTCAGATGATGGCGAGGTCCCCCTCCACAGGGGGACCTCTGTGTGTCTCTAGGGACACCCTAATCGGGGACTGGAAGGAGGACCTGTGTTTTGCTTCACTGAGGACACAGTGACAGGCTGAGCCTGGAGGAGGCTGGAGAGCCGTACACCGGCTCAGCACAGAGGAGAGCACGGGTTCAGGGTGGAAGGGGCTCCTGAAGCTGATGGCCAGAGAGGAGCAGCCAGGACAGCCCTCAGAGGCCCAGGCCCAAGCCTCCTACAGCTCCCAACGGCTGTGGTCCTGCCCTGCATAACAAACAGGGGCGATGAATCAGGAGGGCGTCACCCTGGCAGGTGGCCTTGGGAAAGTCTCCTTGGTGTCCAGGCCTCAAGCTCTCCAACTGTGAGGTAAAGGGAGGGTCAGGTGATCTCCGAGGTCCTGTACAGTGAGGTCTCTGGAAACCCAAGCACCATCTTCCAAGCAGGTGAGAGAGCTGGACAGACAGGGTGACCCGGGCTCCAGCTGGAGCCAGGACACGTCCACACCCCATCTACTCACAAGCCCGGCCTCCATGCCCCTGGTCCCAGGTGGAAGCCTCCTTTCCAGGTGCCCAGAATTTCTTTCTAGAGCCCCATGAAGCCCAGAGCTCTGAGAGCAGCGGCCCTCCAAGCCCCTGGACAGCAGACTCCTACAGCCCTGGTCCACTCCTCGGGGGAATTCTGCCAGGAATCTGCACTCCCCACCCCTTTCCCTCTCTCTCTAAAGCTGTCCTCCTGGGTAAGAGGTGGATGGATGGAAAGATAAGCAATAGAGCAAACAGAGCAGATATAACAGTAGGATCTAGATGGTGGGCAGACAGGGTCAATGTACTGTTTTCTCCCTACTCTGTCAGAAGGGCTTTTAAAAAAATTTTCCCCCACTAAAAACACAAAAGTGTTGGGAGGAAAAGTGTCTGGCTTTGCAAGGCTGGGAGCCGGCAGTACCCAGCAGCTCAAGGAACTTTGGGACCTCTCAGGAGCCCTTTCAAGGGGTGCCCCTAACACTGAGCTGAAAGGAAGGGGGCTGTGGGCAGCAGGGGTGGCCTGCACGGCTGGGGGAGCTATGGTGCGGGAACCCCGCAGTGAGGACCAGCAGGTGGGCGCCCCGTTGTCCATCAGAGCTGGGTATTCCTCAGGAATATTCCTAAGGAAGGGCAGGAAAGGCAGTGTCTCAGCACCGTGGGTTCCTCTGCACCCCATTTCGCCCCTAGGCCTGCCTCTGAGAACTGTTGTGATCCCCAAAGCCCAAGCTGAAGCGAATTCTAACAAATAACAGAAGTGGCACCCAGTCCAACATCTCAGCAAGTCTTCGCTGATTCTTTCGTAACTGGGGAAAGTGAGGCTCAGGAAAGTGAAGTCGCTTTCGAGGTGTTGTGCGCTGGGCCCTGCTCTCTACCGCTACCCTGACAGCTCTAACCCAGGAGGGCGGGAGAAGCAGGTAGAGAAGGTTCCCGGTGGAGGGGAGGGACGCTTCGAGGCCTGCCCCTGGTGCCCAGGGTCCCCGAAGCGCGAACGTGCCCAAACGGCGCCCTCGCTCGGCCGTCACTTGGGCCCAGGGCGCAGAGGCTGGAGGAGGGGCAGGCGAGCGCGCGCCTCTGGGCGCAGTCGGGGGACGCGGGGCGCTACCTGGGTCGTGGAAGGGCACCAGCACGTAGTTGGCGATGGCCTGGCTGCGGCTGCTCAGGGTCCGCTCCAAAATGCGGGAGGCGCCGTCGATCACCTGCATCAGGTCGTCCCACATGGAGCCAGTGACATCGAAGACGAAGGCCAGAGTGGCGTCCCCCGTGGTGGGGGGCAGCACGGTCCCGGGCGCTCCAGTCACCGCCGCAGCGGCGGAGACTGCCACCAACAGCTGCAGGAGCGGTGCCCGGGGCATCATGCTGGGCGCGACCGACTGGTTCGCCACTGCGGTGACAGGTCGTAGCGAGCGCAGTCACCCTGGTGAACCAGAGGCCGCCCAAAGCGCGGCTGCCGCGCAGCGCCTCGCTCTGGGTGCTCGCGGGACAGGGGCGCGCGGCGGGGTCCCCCTGCTGGGAGCCGGAGGCGGGCCCTAGAGCCCACCCCGTTCAGGGTCACGGCCCCGCCTCCTCCGCTCCCCCCACCGTGACTCAAACTTTCCCAGCCCCGCTGCTCGCCAGTCCAGACCCGAGGTTAGAGGAGGACGCGGGGCTTAGCAGAAGGGAAGTGGGGCCGAGGCCAAGGCAGCCAGGGACTGGAGTGCGCGGGAAGCTGCGGACACCTGCGCCTCCCGCCGTCTGCACGCCCACGCGGGCCCCGCTGCGGGGGAGGAAAGAGGAGGGGGCAAGCCATCGGCTGTCATCCCCAGACGTGGCCAAAGCTGGTTCTCGCCTTTGCGACTTTCTCCACCCAGCAACCTCCCCATCCCCCATAAAACACGCTCTATTTCTCTCTCCCCCCACCTCTCCCTCCTCCGCGGGCGCACAGAGCTCCCCACTTACTACTATTGTAGCCAACAGCCCTAAGCCCGGAACCCCACCCGCTATGCATTTTCAGGTCGTTTCCTCCAAGCTCACTGCACCCTAAGGGTTTTTTCCCAGGTCCCTGTAGGTGCAGCACTCAGCCAGGAGGAAAGCCCCCTCCTCTCCCTTTCCCCTCCGCAAGGCTTGCCCCACCTCTGAGGTTGACTGCAACCCACAGCTTGCTCTTTGAGCCTTCCTCCTAGCTGCCACCAGGCTGTGCAGCCAGGGCCCTGTCTGGAGGTCTGCCCCTTCCACCCCCAGTGAGCTCTGTGGCAGAGAAGACCCCATGCCCATGAAGGTTTGCCACCTGCATGGGAGAGCAGGTGTCAGAAACCGGGTAGCGGGGACTTGGCCAAGGCTTTGGGGCTGGGGTGGGGAGTGGGGGGTCTGGCACCACACATCCTCAGAGACTCAGCTCTAGACCAGGACAAGGTTCCTGGGGAGGGTGTCTCAGGTGGGTTTCCTGTGGAGCTATGTATCTGATGGGATATGGCAGAAGCCAGGTCCCCAGATCCAGCAAGGGAGTGAAACTCACAACCCAGCTCAATGGGAAGTGGGCCACCTGCACTTGTGAACACTGGCTCTTTAAATCTCCCTGGGCTAAGGCTGCAATTGCCCCCAGAGTCTGGGCAGGGCTGGGCCAGCTGTTGGAGAGAGAAGAGAGGCCCCAGCTGTGGGAAGGAAAAAAAAAGACAGGAGCCAGGAACCAAGTGGTAACATTTAGACCCAATGCAAGGGACCTTTGGGGACAAAGTGGTCCTTTGGTTATTCACGCCATAAAGGTTTGCTGCACCTGAAGTGTGTGTCCCTCACTCCGAAAGGCACTGTTGGGTCAGGGATGGGGCAGGGAGGACAGTAAAGATGCGCAGGAGACAGGCTTCCCACCCTGGGGAGAAGAACTGTAAACAAATAATTCTAAGTCAATGAGGTAAGTGCTAATAGAGGGACTCCCAGAGCCCTGGGAGCCCACAGGAAGGAGGGCCCGAGCCTAGGGGTCAGAGGAGGCCACAGAGAGAGCCTGAGCAGTCTTCAAGAGCAAGAGGGGAGGGCATTGGAGGAGTGGGAACAGCATATGCCAGGGCGGGAGACACCAGGGACCTGCCAGCAGGTAGCCCAGTGGAACTGGAGGGGGACAGCAGAGGAAAGATCAGAGGCAGGTCACAAAGGACCTTCAATGCCTCGCAGACCCTCTCAGGGTTTCCCTAAAGGCTCAGAAGAGCTCTTGAAGGATGTCAGTGTCCTCATCTCAGTTACATTGAGACAGGTCACAGCAGCACACGTTCAGGGTACACCCCGCAGAGCCTTCAAGGGTTCTCACTGCCCTGCCACCGTGGCCCCACCTCCAGGGCCCCTTGGAGCCCCAGGAAGGATGCCAGAGAAGGTCTGAGCCCATCTTCCCATGGCCTTGGGCAGGCATCTGCCATCCCCCTGCTGTGGCTCCATCGGAAAGTGCTGTCTGTCCTGGTCCACTGCCTGCCCAGGGTGGCAGGGGGGTTCTGGGTGCTCAGGGCTTCCCAGGAATGTATCTACGGTCATGGGACCAGAGCTGTACACAACAGGGGCCCGGCAGCCAGGGAAACCCCCACCCTCACCAAATTCCAGCCCTCACCTTGACCTCTCCAGGCCCCTGGGAGCCTGCATTTTTGAACTCAAGATAATCCACATGTTTCCTCTGTTTCCAGAAGGAGCGGTCCCAGTGGAGTTGTCTGTTCCCTGACATGCTGCTTGTCCACTGGTGTTCCCTGCCTGGGGGACCTGGCCCTGTCCCCTGCATCTGCATGGAAAGCCAAGGCCAGGCAAGGGGCGGGATCAGACCCCGGGATGGTCAGGGCCAGTTGAGGAATCACTGCTCCCTACCAGGGGTCTTTCTTTACGCTTGCCACATCCTAATCCCTGAGCCATCTTGGTCCAGGCCATGTCAGCCGCCCAGTGAGTCTGACGTCTGCACCACCCACGTCCCAGCCAGCCCTCCTCCTGAGGTGTCTGCCCTATTTCTGCTAAATGAGTAAAAACCCCACAGTGGACAGCATGCGCCAAGGCCCTCCGCACCAGCACTAGACCCGTGCGCCAACATTTTTTCTTCTTGTAATGGACGGGGAAACTGAGGCTCAGAGAAGTGGATTCTGCATCTAGGCTGACCTGGACCTACACCTGCCTTCCTGAAAAGCCTGTGAGCCACCCCCCATTCCACACAGCCACAGAAACGTGGGGCCATGATTTATACAGGACCCCCCCCCCCCGAAGCAGAGTGCAGACTGACATGGAATGCAGTGCCTTTCTCAGACAGCACTGTCCTCTCCGGCAGCTCTGCTGGTCCGACTCAAGTTTCAAACATTCTGCACGTTTAAAATGCTGTGGAGACACCACGCCATGTCACCAAAATGCCTGGACAAAAAGAAGAGTCAGAAACAGGCGTGAGAAGGAAGCAGGGAGGCCTCCGACCCCTCCCTTTACTGAGAAGTCAGCTGACTGGAAGCCTTGCCCCCCGCCCCAGGAGGAACCGAGGAACTAAGTGGAGACAGGACCAGCAGAAGGTGGGAGCAACTGACAAACGACCCAGCCACTGAGGACAGGCTGGGTAGTGGGAGTAGGGATCCTCAGGGCCGCAGAGGGCTCCCAGCAGCCAGGCACTTGAAGGATTTACTGTGGAATGCAGTTCCCCGATGGGACCAGCCTCCAAGTCACATGTACCATAAGGAACAGTTTGAGGCCATCCCAAGAAATACTTGAGCAGCTCAAGAGACACAGGAACCATGGCCCATCCCCATGTTTTCAAGAACAAACACGAAAAGCTAAACCACAGCCAACCCTCGACTCGCTCCCGGCCGCCAGCCTGGCCTGTGTCCCCTGGATGGAGCTTGCGTGCCGCTGAGCCCATGGCTGTCATCAGGGGAGAAGGAGCCCACCTCGTTGGCAGGGATCCTGGCTCACTGTTCAGGCTATGTGGTGACAGCCTGACTGTGGCCATGATGTCACCTGTGTCACTGTGGCTGGCACAGAGATGCACAGTGTGCTGAGCTCGCTGCTGCCCTTTTCTTCTGTCTTCCTTTCCCTTTGTTCATAGGTGAACGTCCCACTGAACTCTCTGGTCTATTTTTGTGGACATTGGTGGCCTCCTGCCCTCTTCCTGCTTCTTTGTGGAAGGCTTGGCTTCATCCCAACCCCCCTCAGCCTTCTCAGGTGTCTACACTTCTTCATGTGACTTGAAAACTCTTTCCTGTCTCCAAGGTCACCCTGTAGTTCTGGCCCTCTTGCCCATCATGGGGCAGGGAATGGACTTTTTTTTTTTTTTTTTTTTGGCCAACAGGAACTGAAAGAGCAAGTGCCGGCTTATCTCCAGAACAAGGTTGGAAGGCTTCCTCTGCCTGATTTGAAGTCTTCACCTAAATCGACAGTGGTTAAGAGGGTGTGGTACAGGGAAGGAGTCAATAAGATGCAATCAAGAGTGTAGCAATGAGTCCACACATGTGTGATCAACCGTCAGCAGGGAAGGGGGGTCTTTTTCAACAACTGCAACTATAGGGGAAAACAGTGAACCTGATTCCCTGCCTCACGCCATGCACAAATATTAATACCAGATGATTCGCAGGCTCAAACATAAAACTGAATTAGGAAGCTTCTAGGAAAAAGACACAAGGAAGAAAGAAATTGGAGCCCATGCTCTTCCACACGATGACGTGATGTCTGCAAAGGTCCCGAGGAATTGGGCTGCCATCTTGAAACCCTGAAGACGCTGAGGGCCCAGAGACACCGAAAAGAGGAAGAAGCCTCAGAGCTGCCCTCCACGTGGCTTCTTGTTATGTGGCTAATAGATTTTCCTTCAGAGTTAAGCTCATTGCATCGTGTTCTCTGCTTTCCCTCGTATGGGGTCCAGTTTTACTTAACAATTTCTATTCAGGAAATAAGAACAAACCCTCAACACTGACCTTCTTCTGAAATTTAGTAGATTTCCAAAACCTAGACTTTTTAGTACTTTAACTCCCTGGGGCAGGTTCTAAGACATCCTGGGATTGTCCACTGCAAGAAAGTGACTCACAAGCGTGTTCCCGAAGGAGAGGCCACGTCTGACTCATTTCACTCATACCCCCAAGCCCAGCATCTGGCACATAGTAGAATAAGTGGCTTAATAAATAAGTGCCATATAGATGGGTGAATACAACCAGAAAAGCCCAAACCCTTTCATTTTCTTTCATTATTTTATACACTCATGAGCCAAATCAATAAGCATTATCCTAATTCCTTTAATAATTTCCCTTAATTTATATTCTCCCAATATTTGAATAAGTTTCCCAGGTGTATGAAGAATGTGATCAGAACTGGACCATCCCCGGGTTGGAGACAAGGCCATTAAAGCCAGCAAATCTAAAAGGCCTGGCCTGCCACCAAATCCCTCCCATCACCGCCAGGGTCCACACCTGACCTAAATGCTCACCATGAGCACCACTTCCTGTGTTAACAGCAAAGCTGGGCGGGGTCCATTCGAGAAGCCCCTGTGCCACTGCACTTGGCTCAGCCCAAACAGCCCTAGCACATTAGCTTGGACCATTCAGCAGATGAGCTCTGGTCAAGCAGAAGATTCTGAGAGCCTCTCTCCAAGGGATGGAAGGGAAGCCCAGAGCTAAGAAAAATCACTCTGAGATCCCAGGTTGAGAAGGGTGGGGCTGTGGGGCAGCCACAGGGAAAATTCAGAAAGTTAAACATGGAATCACTGATTACCCAGAGATTCCACTCCTAGATAGGCACCCCAAGTGCCAG